TTAAGGTGAGTAATGTAATCTGAATACTTTGGATTACTTGATTTGCTGTAGAGAAACAAAGACTAGGATATTGTAACATAAGATGTTTTGTCTGATAAAAGAAAATAAAAAGTCCAGACTTTACTGAACCAAATTCAAAATATTATTGATAGAAGATGAGGAGACACGTCCACACAGCAGGATTTAGTCCTGTTAAATCCTGTTTGAGACATAGTTTAGACCTGGTTTAAACCTAGTTTAGATCAGGTTTAGATCTGGTTTAGACCCGGTTTAGACCTGGTTTAAACCTGATTTTAGACCTGGTTTAGACCTGGTTTAACCTGGTTTCAGACCTGTTTTAGAACTGGTTTAGATCTGGTTTCAGACCTGGTTTAGACCTGGTTTAGATCTGGTTTAGACCTAGTTTAGACCTGGTTTAGACCTGGTTTAAACTTGGTTTCAGACCTGGTTTAAACCTGGTTTTAGACCTGGTTTAGACCTGGTTTAGACCTGGTTTTAGACCTGGTTTAGACTGGTTTAGACCTGGTTTAGAACCTGTTTTAGACCTGGTTTAGACCTTTTAGACCTGGTTTTAGATTTTAGACCTGGTTTAGACCTGTTTAGACCTTTGACCTTTTAGACCTGGTTTTAAACCTGTTTAACCGGTTTTGACTTTCTGTTTTAGACCTGGTTTTAGTGGTGGCAATGAGACCTGGAATTACCGAAAAAAAAAAAAAAGGGGGATATAGCCCAAAATGTGAAAATGGGAAAACACCTTTGTGTAATCCATTTATTTCAACCAAGTAACTGTAATCCAATGACCACTCACTTAAACAGTAACTGTAACTGAATACAGTTACTCATAATTTGTACTCTGATTATGTAACTCTGGTACATGTAATCTGTTACTCCCCAACACTGAATACTGACACAATAAATGGTTCCAGGAAACACAGAACGGCAGAAAGGCCAGAGCCAAGCAGTGAGTGGGAGCAGAAGGAGACGGAAGAGCAGCCCAGAGGATGAGAGACTAAGAGAGGGAAGGAGAACATCATCTCCTCCTCTCAGGTAAGAGGCTTTTGTCAAAAGATGGAGTAGTTGTGCCAGGACTAGCAGAAGCATGTGCCGCGTGGATTTGTCTTGATTTTGTTTGAATCTGAGCTATAAGTAGCTGCAGTGACTATTTGTCAAATAAAAGTAACAAACAAAAGTGTGAGCAAACTTAGAACTAAACATAACTCAAATAATCACCTTTGGGCACCATGGGTTTGTGGTTTACGCAGCACAAATCAATGTCCATGACTAAAGATGATTTTCCAAGATTTATTTTCCAGTTTTTTGGCAAACAACAAGGAATACATGTTTAAGGTAACTCCTGCTGCCTCTCCTCGTGACTGGCAAAAAACCATAGGCCCACCCTGGTCACTCTGGTCTACGTGTACCACCCTCCTTTATCCCCGAGGTGACCCACATTAAACCAAAAACAAAAAAAGAGGTGCTAACGTAAATAATACCAATTTAGACTAAGAAATTAGCAAGAATAATATTAACATAGCAAAAATATATTATACAAATTAACAAAACTAAATGCTCTGAGTAATGTTCCGAGCTGTGTTAAATGTTTGACTGACTTTGACCTCCTTCCACAACATGTATCACTATCAACAGAAGTGTCCATGCTGCAGGGTTTGGCAGGAAGGACCAAAAATAGTCCAAAATGCAACGTAAAAACTGTTCAAAGTTGCCCATCCATCGAACTTTAGCTCATGTTCTCCTCAACTAAACACACAACTGCCCCCAACCTCACTCTCTTCTCTCTTCCTCTCCTCTCTCCTCTGTCTTTCATTTTCTCTCCTTCTTTTTGGTTTTAGTTTATTATTTGATCACTGTTGAATATTGTCTCTAGAAACATACAAACTTCAGGAGTTAAAGCAAACATTTTTAGATTGAACTTGTTGAATATTTCTTTCTTTGTCCATGTGACACTTTGAACTTTTGGATCAACTTCTGTGTCTCATCTGAAGATTATTTGGCCAGTGTCCTTCAGCTGCCTTCCTTCCACAATTAAATGTGATGATAAAATAATTGAGGACAGTTTGATTGATGGAAGTACAGTTTGGCCTACTGTGCTCCCTCTGCTGATTCAGCCTTTATTTGATTGGTGACCAGTCAAGAGAGACACTCAACATCTGTATCTGGACAAATCCTGCTGTTGTCTGAATTCTTCCCAGTTTGTCTCTGTTTCTGAGCTTATACCTAACACTTCTTATTATTAGAGATTTTCACAGTTTGGATAATATTTAAGTTACTATAAATACATACATGTTTTATTTGTTTATCTGCCTGATTTGTCAAGTTTAATGTGACCTGTTTCTGTTGAATTAACTGAGACTTAGGCTGGAAATTTGTTTTTTCATTTGAGTCCGGTTCACCTGCCTGATATAATGACTATACTCATTTGAGAAATACTTCCTAAGAATTGACCCATTTTTCACAGCAGCGGTCACAAGTTCTGTCTGTTGGACTTTTCTTTTTTTTTTTTTTTTTTTTTATCTAATCTTAATACAAAGTCTGGGTTGTGACTCTCAGCTGGGTCACAAGCGATTTTTCTGGCTCGCCTTGTGGGTCTGCAGTATACAGTTCTGATACATGCTGAAATGTTAAGACATGTTTTGTATAATGTCTCATCTTTTTGTAATTATTTTATTGACGATTTTGTTCCAATATCGCTGGTTCAATTGAATATTGAAAAGAAAAAGAAACGTGCTACATTTAATGTCCAAATAGGCGACTTATAGATCCTTTTATTTCTGCTTCAGGGTTTTTCATTGTTTAAAACTTGAGTCATATTAAATGTTCAGAGACACGATCACTCAGTCAACTATAAAATATCCTCATGAATGTTCAATAATGCTCAAATCCACCTTTATTTTGTGATTTATGAATCATGTCGATTGACTTGGGTCGTGAAGGTTTGTGAATTTTAAAATATTGGTCCCCAGAAAAAAAAAAGTTTGGGAAACACTGCTCTAACAGACCAGTTAGTTAGTTTACCTTGACATGATTGGACTACTTTTCTGTAACCATAGTAACTGACTCGTGTGTTGTTTACACATACCTCCACATGTTTGAGATCCTTCTACATGTCCTTCTTCAGAATGGTGGCACAGTGACGTGTCTTGCTTTATTTATGATTTACTCGATGTACACAGATTTTGGCTCCACTGTCCTTCTGCATTAGTAGATGAATAGCGCCATCTGCAGTCTGACTTCTGCAGGACAGCATCTCAAGTGAAAGTTGAGGCCGCCTCATCCCTGTTTACTGTGTGGGATGTCGATAACCTCTGTTGTTGTCCCCCAAACACAGACTGTATGAAGACATGGACTAAGGGAGCGTGATGTCACCCATAATGTCCCATTAAAACCAAATGAAGTTCATCGAGGCTAGCAGTTATAGTGGCTAATCTGTAACCACTTCTCAGTGCACCACAAACTTGGAAGTCTTTTCATGAATTGCTGAAATTGGCCTTATAATTAGGGGCAAAACAATTCATTTCTGTCAACTGTACAAAAGTGAAGATGTTTCTCAGTTCATCCAAACTGCTTCTTCAGTTCTGGTCAGACTCTGGTGGACACTTCCTTATATCTGCTGAAGGAGGAGCTAACTACTCTGAAACTACTCTGAAACTAACACCCTACTTGTTTACACTTTCTGTTCATTAGCTAGGCCTGTTCATCTGCACTGAGTTTGAACTGTGCCTCATAAACATTCAGACCTCTGATGGAGCTCCAAGCAACTCCAAGAAAACCATGTCAATGGAAAAGAGGCGAATAAATCATCTTCAGAAGATTCACATGAGCTTGTGTTGACGTCTTGTACAGTGTTTGGTGCAGTTTTCCTTTCAGGAGAAGTTTGTGGATTTCTCTTTCCTCTTTGATCCATGGATGATGGTTATTGTCTTCTGTCCCAGTCCATTCCAAGACATGTCACCACAAGACCACGGGACTCTTCTGAGAATTACTCTTTTGTTTCTTTCCATTGGCATGTTTCTCACTGTTTGGAGCACCATGGTGCAGATTGGCTGCCTCACTTCTGTCAGTCTGTCCCAGGGCAGCTGTGGCTACAGTAATCTTACTACGACCGAGTGTCGAGTGAATGACTGTAAAGCTCTCTGGGAGTCTTGAAAGGCACTATATAAATCCAATGATTAATTCATTAATTCAAAGTAGTGCAAAACTGGCCTGTTAGATGTAAAAACACAAGGACACACCTGCAGTCAGCACTGTGCTCTGAAGGCCCCTGTGTGAGAACCAGATTGGGAACATTCCTCACATCAGACTGGCTCAGATGTTCCATTGTGAGGTCTACACTGATGAACACACTTCTGTGTTTACAATAGGATCAGTTAGACATCTTGCATGGACCTTTCAGCCATTTACTTTGTTTCTACAATCTCTGAGTACATTTTGACGTAGGTTTGTTTTGTTTCTCTGTCAAATTAAAGCTGGTGATGAAAGATGCAACTGTTTCTCGTTGGTTGGATTCCACCATCAACTCCAAATAGGCACAACAGGTCGAATCCTCCAGCTAAGGTACTCTTTACTTAGACTAGCCCAAGACCCTACACCTGACCCGCTGCCCTGGTGTGTCTGGTTGAAGGATGGGTCAAATGCAAGGAATTCATTCATTTATAAATGATGAATTATATTAAATGCATTCTCATTCATATTGAATCTCTCCCTCCCCCTTTCTTTCTCTCTCTCTCTGTGTCTCTCTCTCTCTGTCTGTGTCTCTCTCTCTCTCTGTCTCTCTCTCTCTCTCTCTCTCTCTCTCTTCTGTGTCTCTCTCTGTCTGTCTGTGTGTCTCTCTCTCTCTCTTTCTGTCTCTCTCTCTCTCTCTCTCTTTCTCTCTTCCCTTGTTCTTCTCGTCCTGTCCCGTGTCTTCTCTTGTCCTCCAGTAGGGGGCAGTATGGTCCTGTACGCGTGTCTCCGCGGACGCACGTTAGCGCTGACGTGTTTCCGCGGCCCGGCGCAGACATGGCGGCCCCGGAGCGGCTCACGGGCTTCACGGGGCGGCTGGCGGTACTGCTGCTCTGCCTGTGCTCCGTGCGCTCGGTGTCCGGGCTCCTGGAGGGTCTGTACTGCGGGACCGAGGTCTGCTATGACGTGCTCGGGGTGTCGCGGGACGCCTCCAAAGCGGAGATCGCGCGCGCGTACCGGCAGCTGGCGCGCCGCTTCCACCCGGATTCCACCCGATTCAGAGCCGAACCCGGGGCCGAGAGCGCGGAGGAGGCGCACCAGCGCTTCCTCCAGATCGCCACCGCCTACGAGACGCTCAAGGTTTGTGCTGGACTGCAGGCGGCTGGGATTTGGCCCGGTTTAGTTCGGGTTTAGTTTGGGTTTAGTTTAGACCCACTGCAGTAGGCCTGTCGGTCCTGATGTCCCTGTTAGTCCCGCTTTAGTCCCAGTTGTACCAAAGACTAACGGCACCAGCCACGTGTCACTGTCCTCAGGCCTGTCCAAAGTAAACAACAAGTGCAGGACAAAAGAGGACACGGACCAGGACTCTGCCTCAGGACTGGACTAAACCAGAACTGAACCAGGACTGAACCAGAACTGAACCAGGACTGAACCAGGACTAAGTAGGACTGCAGTACAAACTGGGACTAAAACATTTGAGGCTCCAGGGCTCAGTAGTGCAGCGGTCAGAGGTTCAATCCCAGCTCTGAACAACTGCATAGTTGCACAGCCACATTGTGTCCTTGGGCAAGGCACTTCTCCCACCTTGTTTTTGAATGAATGCATTAAGACGGTAGGCCTTTAATAGTTGTCTCATTCATCAGTCACTGGAGTTTTATTCTTAGGCCTGTCATGATCATGACTATGGACTTCTGGTTCAAAACATGACAGATGGAACATTTTCACCTGGGGACTTGTCCTTTGTTCTAGTGGTAGTGTTTTTTTCAGTTCGCTCATTTGTTTTGTTCTGTCAGTTGAAAAAAACAACAACAACAACAAAAACGCACAACTGTATATTCTACAGAACCAAGGGTTTAGACTGAAGCCACACACACACGCACACACACAGAGACAGACACACGCACACACGCGCACACACACGCACACACACACACACACACATGAACACACGCACACACACGCACACACACGCACACACACACACACACACATGAACACATGCGCACACACAGAGACAGACATACGCACACGCGCACACACACACCCGCACACACACACACCCGCACACATACACCCGCACACACACACACCCGCACACATACACCCGCACAGGCACACACACAATTTGTGTGCTTAATAGGGTAAGATATATATTTTCTTCTATTTCCCTGTAATACTGCACTTATAGATAAAAAAAATAATAATAAAATAGTTCAGTGGCCTTTTCATACTTAGTCCAGGCTACATGTCACTAAATGCTAAATAAATGTTGTGTATTCATTGCAGCTCATGTTCATTTACAGTTTTTGGGGGGAGGTTTTAGTCAGGCTGGCGCCACCTAGTGCCTCCGCTCAATTTCATTCCTCTCCAGCAACTAGGTCTGGAATCAGAATAAACTAGACAGTTTGCAAGAATCCCGGACCTTGTAGAGCGCTCACCGGCCAATCAGCTGTGAGCTGTGAAGCCATGACTTCAAACTCGTCACGTCTGTACAGCACAACAGTAAACAAAGCGTCGAGATGGATGTAGACGAAGACAGACATTCTGTGTTGGCAACGATTCCCGAGATCAAAGATTTAAAGCTGGAACAAAGAGAATGTTTGGTGAATTTTATCAAGGAGAAAGACGTTATTGTCCTTCTTCCTACAGGATTTGGTGCATTACAAATGTCACAACCAAATAGCAGCGATTGGTTAAATAAAAAAAAGTACCCACCTACCGTCGAGTGAACAAGCCCTAATGCTGCGAGGTCACACGGTTTCCACCAAGTGAAACTGGCTGATGAATTGTGCTAGGGAAGTCCTGCTTTAGGGTTACTTCAAAATGAAGGAGAAGTGTTAGTCTATTAAACATTTTATTCAGATTTCTATGGGACAACAGCAGAAAGGAGAAGTGAGCGATCTGAACGTTTGGCACTTTTTGGTATTTCTCTGTAAAAAGTCAGATTAAACTCACGATTCACAAGTTTCATCTTTTTTTTTTTTTTTAAATAAAAACTTTGTTTCCTAGTTCTTCTTTCTGCAGAAATAGTACTTTTTCCATGAACTCCTCCTGCAGGTGTAGTCATGTGAGTGCAGTTTGGGTCAGATTCACAGAAACTGATTGTGGCCTTTTTCAGCCCTTCACTGTGTTGTGTGACACTGTGAGTGCTGCTGATGGGGCAGATTGGCTGCCTCTCTTCAGTCAGTCTGTCCTGGGGCAGATGTGGCAGGAGGAATGATGAATGTTGACTCTATGAATACAGTGTTTATTTGCACATGTGATGACCCCCTCTCTCTCTCTCCCTCTCTCTCTCTCCCTCTCTCTCTCTCTCTCTCTCTCTCTGTCTCTCTCTCTCTCTCTCTCTCTCTCTCTCTCTCTCTCTCTCTCTCTCTCTCTCTCTCTCTCCTCTCTCTCTCTCTCTCTCTCTCTCTCTCTCTCTCTCTCTCTCTCTCTCTCTCTCTCTCTCTCTCTCTCTCTCTCTCTCTGCTCTCTCTCTCTCCTCTCTCTCTCTCTCTCTCTCTCTCTCTCTCTCTCTCTCTCTCTCTCTCTCTCTCTCTCCTCTCTCTCTCTCTCTCTCTCTCTCTCTCTCTCTCTCTCTCTCTCTCTCTCTCTCTCTCTCTCTCTCTCTCTCTCTCTCTCTCTCTCTCTCTCTCTCTCTCTCTCTCTCTCTCTCTCTCTCTCTCTCTCCTCTCTCTCTCTCTCTCTCTCTCTCTCTCTCTCTCTCTCTCTCTCTCTCTCTCTCTCTCTCTCTCTCTCTCTCTCTCTCTCTCTCTCTCTCTCTCTCTCTCTCTCTCTCTCTCTCTCTCTCTCTCTCTCTCTCTCTCTCTCTCTCTCTCTCTCTCTCTCTCTCTCTCTCTCTCTCTCTCTCTCTCTCTCTCTCTCTCTCTCTCTCTCTCTCTCTCTCTCCTCTCTCTCTGCCTCTCTCTCTCTCTCTCTCTCTCTCTCTCTCTCTCTCTCTCTCTCTCTCTCTCTCTCTCTCTCTCTCTCTCTCTCTCTCTCTCTCTCTCTCTCTCTCTCTCTCTCTCTCTCTCTCTCTCTCTCTCTCTCTCTCTCTCTCTCTCTCTCTCTCTCTCTCTCTCTCTCTCTCTCTCTCTCTCTCTCTCTCTCTCTCTCTCTCTCTCTCTCTCCTCTCTCTCTCTCTCTCTCTCTCTCTCTCTCTCTCTCTCTCTCTCTCTCTCTCTCTCTCTCTCTCTCTCTCTCTCTCTCTCTCTCTCTCTCTCTCTCTCTCTCTCTCTCTCTCTCTCTCTCTCTCTCTCTCTCTCTCTCTCTCTCTCTCTCTCTCTCTCTCTCTCTCTCTCTCTCTCTCTCTCTCCTCTCTCTCTCTCTCTCTGTCTCTCTCTCTCTCTCTCTCTCTCTCTCTCTCTCTCTCTCTCTCTCTCTCTCTCTCTCTCTCTCTCTCTCTCTCTCTCTCTCTCTCTCTCTCTCTCTCTCTCCTCTCTCTCTCTCTCTCTCTCTCTCTCTCTCTCTCTCTCTCTCTCTCTCTCTCCTCTCCTCTCTCTCTCTCTCTCTCTCTCTCTCTCTCTCTCTCTCTCTCTCTCTCTCTCTCTCTCTCTCTCTCTCTCTCTCTCCTCTCTCTCTGTCTCTCTCTCTCTCTCTCTCTCTCTCTCTCTCTCTCTCTCTCTCTCTCTCTCTCTCTCTCTGTCTCTCTCCCTCTGTCTCTCTCTCTCTCTTTTCCTCTTTCCCTCTCTCTCTCTCTCTTTCCTCTTCCTCTCTCTCTCCCTCTCTCTCTCTCTCCTCTCTCTTCCTCTCTCTTTTCCTCTTTCCCTCTTCTCTCTCTCTCTCTCTCCTCTCTCTCTCCCTCTCTCTCTGTCTCTCTTTCTCTCTCTCTCTCTCTGTCTGTGCCCAGGATGAGGACTCACGGCGGGAGTATGACGACATGTTGGACCACCCGGAGCAGTACTACCAGCACTACTACGCCTACTACAGACGCAGGTTGGCCCCCAGAGTGGACGTGAGGCTGGTCATCCTGGTCACCATCTGTGCCATCTCTGCGTTCCAGGTACAAGAGCAGGATCGTGGAGCCGTTCACTCCTGACTACAGTCAAAATAAGACTAGTCATTCTCTCTGATGACAACAGAGTCAGCTCCTCTGTTTTTACAGGAAATACTATTTGCACAGTTGTAATATATACCAAAATATACCATAATATGGTATATTTTTTTATTTATATTCTTATATTGTTTGCAAGCCTTTATTTGATCATAGTTTTTTTGTTTGTTTGTTTTTTATGTTGTTCAAACAAGTTCCTGTTTGTGAATTGTGTTGCACATGTTGATCTGTGTGGGGACACAGGTCAAGTTTATGGAATCAAATCAAAATATAAAGAGCCAGTGTAAGTTCTGACAAGTCCCTGTGTGGGCCTCTTGTATGTGCAGTACTACAGCTGGAACAGCAGCTACAATGAGGCCATAAACTACCTGGTGACTGTGCCCAAGTACCGGCTGCAGGCGGCAGAGATGGCCCGACAGCAGGGCCTCCTGAGCCGGGCCAAAGAGCGCGGCAAGAACCGCAGGAGCAAAGAGGAGATCCGCGAGCACGAGGAGGAGGTCATCCGCCTCATCATCAAGACCAAGATCGACATCAAGGGCAGCTACCAGAAGCCGCGGGTCTGGGACATCCTGCTCTGCCAGCTTCTGCTGGCACCCATCAGCCTGGCACGCTACGTGGCCTGGTACGTGTCCTGGGTGTACCGCTTCAGACTGCGCGGGCAGGAGTACGGCCAGGAGGAGAAACTCTACCTCATCAGGTACTGAAAAGCTTCTTTTTTTTTTTAACTGATAAAAATCTATAATCACAGGTGCAGCAGTGTGCAGGTGACAGATAAACATCTGACTGAAGTTTGTGAAGACAAAACCTGAAGCAAACTCTACATAAACACACCAGAGCAGAGACCACACAGGCACAGGGACTGCAGAGTTTTGTTAAGATACACTTCCCTGAAGGGAAAATTGTCATCTGCATTTGACCCACCCCCCAACGCCACAGGGACAGACTGTCTGGAGCAGTGGGACCCAGCTCCACATGTCCAGCTAGTCTTGGTCAGGACTTCATTATCTGGAGGATTTGACTTATGGTGCATATTTTGAGTTGATGGGGGAAAGAAGACCAGCAACCTTCTGGCTGTGAGGTGAAAGTGCATACCATAAAGCTGGTGTATACAACATTTAGATTTCATTTTTTATATTTCATACATTTTTATAGGAGCATATTGTCACAGTGTAACTTAAAGAATAGCGACACAGAAATGCAGTGATGGAGTGAGCAGAAGCAGAGCTTTACTAGAGCCTCACTCCTTCACATGGAACATTTGCTGTTTATTACATACACGACATTCAAATATCCAAATACAAAACATTCAATATCCAGGTGTGGTCCTAGTCCAAAAAGGTGCAAAAAATGATTTTCCAGATGTTTATTCTTGTGTAATGTATTTGTTTCAGTGTCACCCATACCCAGGCCCATACACACATAGTGTGCATGAGCTTATTTATCTCTGTGTGTGTGCATGTGACACCCATACCCAGGCCCTGGGTATGAGCCTGAGCCTTTTGATCAGTGAAATAGATGCTGAAGATGTAAAAATGTACATTTGTCTTTACAATGTCATGTTCTTTGTGATCAGGTGTAAATATCTACATTAGCAAAACTGTAATAACTGTGTGATCTCTCCAAATCTGAGTCATTCCTGTGATTTCAGGAAGAACATGAAGATGTCTCAGTCTCAGTTTGACACTCTGGAGGACAGCACTATTGAGGATTTCCTGCAGAGGGAGCTGTGGATCCGTGAGAACTACGAGGTGAGCTTCTAGACCAGGACATGTCTCCAGATCACTCAAATGTGCCACTGTCTTCGGATTGTATTTCAACACCTAAAGTGGCCTGTATTTTTATACATGCTGAAAATCAAATGATCAGCTGACACTGATTTTGTTTCCAGTATTTTTTTTTCTACAATGCAGACTGAAGTGATTTAAGAGGTTGTACTTAAAGGCACAAATCATGGCATTTGTGTAGATGAGCTTGCTGCTGTTTATATTTTCAAAATTATGTTTGTTCTCTAACAAGCCCCAGGGTCTTCAGACAATAAAACACCTCTGTTGCATTTTGTCACTTGAAAACGATCATTGTGCTGTGAAAGGGAAACACTGTTGACGTCACTTAGCCTCTTTGTCAAAAATGACTTTTTGGAGCGTTCTGTTAAAAGTCATTCCCTCATCAAAAAACATGTCTGAAGAGGTTTTAGATGTTTGAGTCATCTAGCAATCTCTCCCAGGCCTTATTCATACCCTCCTGCCCAGAGCCAAACAACACAATTTTTCATAATTGTACAAAAGCACAATACAGTGCTCTGAAGGGGGAGTGACCCATCGAGCAAATGGAGGGAAGACTCAGAGCCATACACTGTGTAAATAAGGGGATGTAGCTAACCCGCTAGCTGCTGCAATGCAACATCCTCACAAAGTATAGAAATCTGATGTGTGTGTGCGCAGGTGTACCGGCGCGAGCAGGACGAGGAGCTGAAGGTGCGCATGGCCACAGACCCCCGCATGAAGAGGTACCGCCGCTGGATGAGGAACGAGGGCCCTGGACGCCTCACCTTCTCTGACGACTGACGCTATGAGGGGCCAGCTCAGGGCCAGCTCAGGGGCCAGCTCAGGGGCCAGCTCAGGGGCCAGCTCAGGCCGATGGAGGCTGACGGAGGCGGACGGAGCTGCTGGAGCTGCTGGATCTGCTGGAGCTGCTGTAACGCTCTATGAGACATGGCAAATCAGACTTGGAGTCTGGAGCCTTAGTGTCCTGAAGGCTTTGCAACATTGGGCAGTAACATGAAAGTGAGAAACTCCAGGGCTGTGGAGACATAAGGCTCGAAGACCACAGGCCACTGGGCAGAAACAGCCCCATCTAGTGGTCACAGCACAGACTGCAGTTCCTTCTACAGGACTATCACCTGAAGTGTACTCTGTACGGTAGCCCTGCAGGGATATCCCCAGAGGATAGTCAACATTTTCTAAATATAACTTGTTTAAAATGTTTAAATTGTAGAAAATAAATGTAAAAGGTCAGTTGAAAGTGTGTCTTTTTTTCTACTGAGGGAACTGAACCAGACACATTTGCACTAATGCAACAAGGAAGCTACACCGGCCCACATTTGTACAATGCTTGCACAGTTGTCAGTAATAACAAACCTCCATGTTTATTTTGGGTTGTTTGGGTGCTTAGTTTTTGGCTTCTACACAAACCTCAGTGCTGCGCCCGCTGCTCTGTGATTGGCCCAGCAGTGGGCGGACCAATTTGAATGTTACAGCGGGAGTGTCTCAAGATGGATTCTCGTGTGTTTGTGAACTCACACATGTCAGAGTTAAGCAGCCTCACAGACTAAAATGGAAAAAAAGGACAAGACACTGATTTAGAGTAACCATAAAAATTAAACATACATTTAAAACATACAAAACAAACAATACAACGCAGAGTAATAGCTCATAATAAGGCGATTAGCGACAAGAATGAGCAAAGAGCCACACAAACTAAAGTGAGGGCTGGAGCTTCATGCCACAGCCCCTCAGCCCCTCAGCCCGTCCCTGGCTCTGGGCTCTCCTCTCTGGGTCTGTGCTCTCCTCTGATGGGGCCGTGCTGGAGCTCACACATGAATCCAAGGCTTAAGTGAAACAAAGCTGCGTCGCATTTCTCCAAATGTGCCTGTGGTTTTGTGAGAAGGTTCCCGTCTCTGTGCTCACACAGATCAAACTCAAGTTCACCTCATGTCAGCACAAATCAAAAGGATTTTTTTTTTTTTAAGAATTCAAAAATACTGCCATGTGATGTTAAACTTGACCTCATGTGTCCTCAAATACAAGGTAAACATCTTAAAATCAAAATCCAACTTATCTTTTATTGAAAATTATTGTAATGCCGATTTATTCTTGATTAAGATTCTTGATGGCACATTTATTAATTTCTTAATGTTATCATTTTGGTTTTAAAGCAGAAAGACTCATTTGTGTTGCCAGGTTCAGTGCTGAAATCCAATGTGTTTAAACCTAAAATGTCTCTGATCTGAATGATCTCTACCTAAAGCCCAGCACCTGCACCTGTCATGAGTCAGTGCTAGTGCAGCCTCTGCAGCTCAGGGAGGGAATTCTGGAGGTTCTGAGCTTCACATGAGACCTGTCCATATATCACAGGTTTGAAATTGCAAGTTATGACTTGGAGTAAAGTCAGACTTGAAACTTGACTTGATAGAATGAACTAAGACTTGGGACTTGACTTGGACTTGATGCTTCTTTTTTAGAAATCCCATTTTTCTATACAGTTGATACTTTCAGTTCCTATTTTACAGCCCCACCCAATTCTCATGTTATGAGGGATGGAACAACAAAAATACTACGACATCCTATTGTCAAATGTCCTTGCATAAATACATTATTTTGAACTACATATACTGTGATCCTCTGCTATATTTCAGTGCAGTGATGAAATAACTGTTATTAAAATCTTTTCAGTTGTAATTCTTTGGATAATGACAGTAATGATTCACACTAAGGTCTTGTAAGCATTTAAAAAGAAAAAAGTATCACATCTATAATTCTGTTAGCCTCTCCAAAATAGCATAATAAATATATCATGACATTTGGATATGATTACACCCTTATTTCACTTTTTAAGTAGAACAATGTGGTTTACAATCCATCTGAGATGCAAAAAATATAAGCTGTATTTTTATACATATATTTGTATATGTACTTTGCTTCAAATACTTGAAAGGCCTCAAAAGCTCAAAGCAGAGGACTCGGATTTGTGGGCCGCTGACTTGAGACTTGACTCGGACTTGAGGCCAAAGACTTGAGACTTGCAAACTAAGGACTTGGTCCCACCTCTGCCATATACGGAGAATGAGGAGCAGGTTTAGGCACTGACAACCCAGGCTCAGCTGTGATTGCAACAGTAAGTGCGTGAGTTTGTGGAACCAGTCATTAGGGGCACTTTAGGAGCACTTTCAGGAGAAATGGGACGCGGCCCAGAGCTGCTGCTGCTGAAGGACACATGAGAAGCACAGACACCTCGGGGGGTCCAGTCAGTTTGCCATGGAGCTCAGATCAAACACATGTTACAGTCAAAGTAAGATTTGTACAAAACTGCCCCACTTGCCATGGCCTCTTCGGTCGAACAAGCATGGATATTTTTACAGCTTTTGTGTACAAATATATTCCTCCCAAAGATTAAGTCCTTGTTTCTTGTTCTCATAAATAATAGAGGACATTTAGACGGTCTGCAACATTGACAAGATTTGGTCCAAATGATAAACATATGAACATGCATGAAGGATCGCTGAAATCAACTTAGAACATTTGTTTAGTTGTAAAGAAATTTGCAACGTTTAAGTCAATTTCTGTTTTTTATAAAATATGTTTTTAAAAATCTGAAGACACAAATCACCACATGAAAGACGCGTTTGCGATGCTGGGTGTGACCGAAGCACAGACACTGCTCAGGCTACATGTGCAATAAGACCTGCGTTTGATAGGACACTGTACAGGAGACATCAACACAGCTCACATCATATCGCTGCTCCTCACACCGCTGTCTTGGAATTTGGTTTTTCATTGTGTTTGCAAAGCCAATCAGAAAGTGTTGTGTTGGCTGCATTTCCAGGTGGTTCTTTGTGAAATGTGGTCTTGTACTCCTTAGACACAGGCTACATTATTGGCTTTTTCAGAGTACGTTTTCTGCAAACAAATGTAATGGACACACATCTAGAGCCTGTTTAGTCCTGGTTTAGTCCTGGGTCAGTCCTGGTTTAGTCCTGGTTTAGTCCTGGTTCAGTCCTGGTTGTTGAGCTCTCCTTCAATTTGGGTCTCCTTGTGTTTCTGGAGAAGGACAGAGGATGGGGACATGATCTGTCTCCTTGTTTCACTTAGTGTGTGTGATTGTTGGGTCTTGGGCCTGCTCACATTGTACAGCCTTGTGATTTGGGGCAAGAATAAATGGTGGTTTTTGGGGGCGCTGGGCTGTCCTCCATAGTGCTGCTGTCTTTTGTCCAGGGCTATGTCTCATTACGACGTCTTGACCAGGTCATAGACGTAGATGAGGAAGTCGTCGTCAAACTTGATGAAGTACACGGAGGGCTTGGCCTCCACCTGGTGGATGACCATGCCTGTGCGCTTGCCTCCGTCCTCTTTGGCATACTCCACCTGCTTCCCCACGAGACTGTCCACCACCTCCCCGGGCTCGCGCTCCGCCGGCCCACCCTCATCTGCAACACAACACGCACACGGGACAGGTGAGAGCCCTGTCAACACAATCATTACATGCACAGAGAAATCCCAGTGTGCTAAACCACCAGCCCACTCTATCCCAGACTACAGTAGGTCAAAGAACACAACAAGTGAGAACAGAGGATACAAGGTGCTCAGGGGCATCTAGTAATCTATCAATGGCACTGAAACTCTACCTATAACTGCTAATAAAATGAACTATCATACACAGAAGTACACTTGATTTTCAGACATGAGGAACTGCTACTCTCAAAGCTATTTGCTCACTGCAGCACAACAATTTAAAGGTCCTATATTATGCAAAATTGACTCTTGTGTGCTTTCAGCCATGTTTTAATACAGAAACATACTTGGAGTTGTGTTTTGTATCATTCACACGTTTAGGAAATCTTTTATTATATCTTCTATTATCTGTGTCTGAATCCATCTCCAAAGCTCAAAATGCTCTGTTCCACCCTGTGATGTCTTGAAGGGGTAGGTTTCAGTTTAACAGCTCCTCTTACCTTTAGTTCAGCAGAGGCAATTCCAGGGCGGAAAATATCCAACTGATTTTAGTGAAGATGTATGAAGTTTAAAACAGAGTGGAGCACTTCTGTATTACCATGTGACATCACAAGGTGGAACAGAGTTTTTTTCTGAGAGAATAAGCCTAATATACAGGGTTTGTGTGTTAAACATGGTAATGAAACAAAACACAACAAGGGATACACGATCCAGCCATTTCAGTTCTATTACTGATTTTGATATTATAACATTAAATATCTGCCGATACCCAAGATCATCCAATACCAGTACAGAGAGTGAAAACTGCATTTATATTCTTTAAACAAAAATAAAATAAACAAAACTGATTCAAATATATCACACAGTTACTTATCCCACAAGTAACAACGAAACTGTAAGAGTTCAAATATATAAATATTATATAATTATATCTTGGCCAACTACGACTAGTAAAGACCTGCATGAAGTTTGTCCCCCCATCAAACCTACAGAAAAATTATGTCTATCGTTTGTGCTTCTTTTGTGCTGTTTTGTGCTGCAAAAAGTTTGTTTGTGCGATTATGATTCTTAAGATATTAACAGTTTTATTTCCAGTTGATGACGTCATCCGGCTCCTCAAAATGTTAAATAACCTCAAAACAGGCAGAAAATTATATGAAATGTTTGTATTTCATTTGTGCTGTTTTGTGCTGTGACAATTTTCATTTATTAATTTATTATTTATACATTTTCTCCCTGTCTGAGGTTATGTAACATTTTGAAGGGGCCAAAAATAAAACTGCTAAGAACTTAAAAACTGTACTCACATAACTAAACTTTTTGCAGCACAAAACAGCACAAACGAAGCAGAAACGATGGACACCATTTTGTGCTGGGGGCTGGCTGGCCACTTTGATCTAGAAAAGAATGGTTAACATCTCAAAAACTAAAGCAACACCATCAAAACTTTTTGCAGCACAATACACCACAAACAACTGACATAGTTATGGCAAAGGTAGGAGGGGCCAACTTCACGCAGGTCTAGTAAATTGTCTTATTACATTAATTTACATGTTCAGCCACATCGACTGAACCGATATTTGGAAGCACCTGATCAAGATCATTTTTCAGTATTGGTGCACATATCCAGGGATCCAGCGGGATCAATATTATAATATAGATCAAAAAATAGCCGATGGGCCCGTTAACAAAGTGAGTGGATCAAAACAAAGCAGCATGTGCTCGGTGAAGAGACTCTAGTTAGTCATTGCTTCAGTGCGGTGGCCCACAGAGCCAGGACAGTGCTCACTGTTGTCAGGCATGATGCGCAGGTCTCCCTCCTTGTAGTCATCCAGGAGCTGGTACATGTAGAGCACAGGGTCCTTCTCGTAGGTGATGTAGAACCAGGAGGTCATGATGGGTGCGCGGGCCAGGACCATCCCTCTCCACTCCTCCTTGGGTCCCTCCTCAGTCTCAAACATGTGCTCCACTGCTTTCCCGATCATGGCGTCGGCCAGGCTCACATCGGTCAGCCGCGACTTGGCTGTCCACACAAACACAAGTGTGACAGACTGCACACACAAGACCAAAGAGCACTCCTGTGTCTGCGGCTCATACTGCTCTCCTCCAGCCACAAACACACTTCACAACAACTATACACTGCTGACATTAGGGCTATTGATATTTTGCAGCTGATGTCATCAACTCTCCCTAGAGGATTGAAGCTAACTAGAGGCACTGCTCTGTCTGAAGATCTATTACTCAAGTTAGACTTTCATTTGAGCTTTGTTTTAACACAGTCTGAATTAGCTGACACTACATTGGTTGAGCTGATTCTGTGCCATTAAACAAGTCCCTCTCAAAGAACACTGCAGGTTTGTCACTCTCACCTTTTTATTGAAAATCACCTAAACAGGATCATGAACGCTCGTATTGATCACACACTCCTGAAAATGTGCTGTTTAAATCCATTTTGTTTTTTTGTTTTTATTTTCAAACTTTCTTTGACAGTGATTGCTAATGTGCGTATTGTGTCACCATGGCAACTGCTGAATATTCCACCACAGAGATACATGTCAAACACCCCCAGCGTGATGTCAATGTTAGGGGAGTGCAAAAATATTGATATATCGCATTGCTTAATGTGCTGATACAGTATCGATGTCGTGGGCCGGTGTATCGATATATCATCAAGAATATTTTTTGGTATATTTTACCCAATTATTTTACAGTTACAGAGGTACAGTTTTGTTGTTTGTTCAGAGGAAGCAAACTTGTTCATACAACTCATTTGACATTTTCACTGTTCTGATGACTAAAATGTTTGTGTTTCATATGAACATTACACAAGAAGAGGTTTAACAAACACTTTTAGTATCACAGCCACGATTTAGCCATTATTTTTTATTGAACAGTATCTAATCAATTTGAAATATATAATAACGAATCGGAGCGATTTGAAGGCTCAGTGTATCGAGATATGTATCGTATCGTGGCCCATGTTTCGAGGTATGTGTCGTTTCTGCAACTTCTTAATGATACCCAGCCTTAGTCAATATCAATAACAAGACGATTACTGAAGCGCAAAGGCTGCAATTATTTACATAATAAAAGGTTCTCTGCAATGAACAACATCTCCTGTAAAACCAGTTAAACCACATAGTTGAGCTCTACTGTGTGCTGATGTTCGAGCTCTGTGTCTCACCCAGTCTGTCCGGCAGCACCTCGAGGCCCTGCACGCGCTCGTCTTTGTGCAGCTCCAGGCCGTACACACAGTCAAAGCCGTCGTACTTGATCAGGTAGAGGGAGGGGTTCACCGGCACCTGACACAAGGGTGGGACACTTCAACTACTGCACATTTGTACTCACCCCCCCCCCCCCGAGCTTAGAGGTAACACCTAGTGTCACACTGAGGAGGGAGTGAGGAGTACCTAGTGTCACACTGAGGGAGTGAGGAGTACCTAGTGTCACACTGAGGGAGTGAGGAGTACCTAGTGTCACACTGAGGGAGTGAGGAGTACCTAGTGTCACACTGAGGGAGTGAGGAGTACCTAGTGTCACACTGAGGAGTGAGGAGTACCTAGTGTCACACTGAGGGAGTGAGGAGTACCTAGTGTGAGGAGTGAGGAGTACCTAGTGTAGGAGTACTAGTGTCACAGTGAGGGAGTGAGGAGTACCTAGTGTCACACTGAGGGAGTGAGGAGTACCTAGTGTCACAGTGAGGGAGTGAGGAGTACCTAGTGTCACACTGAGTGAGGATACCTAGGTCACAGTGAGGGAGTGAGGAGTACCTAGTGTCACAGTGAGGGAGTGAGGAGTACCTAGTGTCACAGTGAGGGAGTGAGGAGTACCTAGTGTCACAGTGAGGGAGTGAGGAGTACCTAGTGTCACACTGAGGGAGTGTACCTAGTGTCACAGTGGGAGTGAGGAGTACCTAGTGTCACACTGAGGGAGTGAGGAGTACCTAGTGTCACAGTGAGGGAGTGAGGAGTACCTAGTGTCACACTGAGGGAGTGAGGAGTACCTAGTGTCACACTGAGGGAGTGAGGAGTACCTAGTGTCACAGTGAGGGAGTGAGGAGTACCTAGTGTCACAGTGAGGGAGTGAGGAGTACCTAGTGTCACACTGAGGGAGTGAGGAGTACCTAGGGTCACACTGAGGGAGTGAGGAGTACCTAGTGTCACAGTGAGGGAGTGAGGAGTACCTAGTGTCACAGTGAGGGAGTGAGGAGTACCTAGTGTCACAGTGAGGGAGTGAGGAGTACCTAGTGTCACACTGAGGGAGTGAGGAGTACCTAGTGTCACAGTGAGGGAGTGAGGAGTACCTAGTGTCACAGTGAGGGAGTGAGGAGTACCTAGTGTCACAGTGAGGGAGTGAGGAGTACCTAGTGTCACACTGAGGGAGTGAGGAGTACCTAGTGTCACAGTGAGGGAGTGAGGAGTACCTAGTGTCTCACTGAGGGAGTGAGGAGTACCTAGTGTCACACAGTGAGGGAGTGAGGAGTACCTAGTGTCACACAGTGAGGGAGTGAGGAGTACCTAGTGACACAGTGAGGGAGTGAGGAGTACCTAGTGTCACACTGAGGGAGTGAGGAGTACCTAGTGTCACAGTGAGGGAGTGAGGAGTACCTAGTGTCACACTGAGGGAGTGAGGAGTACCTAGTGTCACACTGAGGAGTGAGGAGTACCTAGTGTCACAGGAGTGAGGAGTACCTAGTGTCACAGTGAGGGAGTGAGGAGTACCTAGTGTACACAGTGAGGAGTGAGGAGTACCTAGTCACACTGAGGAGTGAGGAGTACAGTGAGTGAGGAGTACTAGTGTCACACTGAGGGAGTGAGGAGTACCTAGTGTCACAGTGAGGGAGTGAGGAGTACCTAGTGTCACAGTGAGGGAGTGAGGAGTACCTAGTGTCACAGTGAGGGAGTGAGGAGTACCTAGTGTCACACTGAGGGAGTGAGGAGTACCTAGTGTCACAGTGAGGGAGTGAGGAGTACCTAGTGTCACAGTGAGGGAGTGAGGAGTATCTAGTGTCACAGTGAGGGAGTGAGGAGTACCTAGTGTCACAGTGAGGGAGGGAGGAGTACCTGGTCCAGCACAGTGCCCTTCCACACAGCATGAGTGGCTCCGTCCTTCCACACATGCTGGATGCGGCAGCCCACCATGTCCCTCCGCGCAGGCGACACGGCCTTGGCTCCCCCAACACTGCCTTTGTGCTTTCTAATCAGGGAGAACACAACGCCTTACTGTAGTCTGTGCAGCTGCATTTGTAAATGATTGTGTCTGCTTCAGTAAATATGGCTGTTCCAAAATCTGATATGTTGGATCATATTCAATGAAACTTTTTTTTTTTTAACTTTCAACAGCTTTTAGATGCCATTGCAATAAAAAGGCGTCATGTGACAGCACGAATCATGTGACCGGAGCGTCTTACTTGTGGGGATTCTTCTTCTTCATCATATTTACAGACACACCTGCATGTCCTGAGAAGAGAGACAGGTGAGAGGGTTAGGATGGTAGACAGGTGAAGAAACAGACACTTGTCTGTAAGGACAGAGCATAAGCAGACCTGCATCAGCAGTGTCTCTGTCTCCCAGTGCGCTCTTCATTCATCTGGAGGCAGACAGGCAGCGATCGCCGCCACCCCCCGAGGTGTGAGCTGGGCCTGGGGCTGAGGGCTGAAGCCGGGGAACTGTGGAGAACACCAAACAAAAGGAAACAATTAGACCTATGATAAACTTTCATTCCACATACAGTTAGACTGCCACAGGATAGAAGTGTGTCTGTGGGTGTGGTGTGTGTCACCGCACTGTGTCAGAGGTGCACTGATCTTGAGGTGAACAGTTGTCACACTGCTGCTGGCACACTCTTACCTGCGTCATCACATGGGAGTACTAGGGGTGGGCGATATCTCAATATTTTTAATATATCAAGATTTTTTAAAAACTATATATGAACTATATATGACTTATGAAATATCGTATATATCGATATAATGCTTATATTCAATTTTGATTTCGCCGCTTTGCTTGTTTGTTTCTCTGTCGCCGCCCGCGCGCCTCCGCCTCCCTGATTTTGTTCGTGTCTCATTCACTCGTCACTATCGCCGTGAACGCCGAAAGTTGGTGCCAGTGAAAAGCTTCTAGCGCCACGAAACTTTTCCACCATTTACAGACAAAACCATCAGCAGCACATCCTCACATTCCACCGAGTCGTGTCCTTTAGTCCAAAAGAAGTTGAACCGCAAGAGCGGCACGTGGAGTGCGCTGTTTATGCAAATTAGCCATGCGCTTTTTAAGTTTCGTTTCTGTAAAACGTAAACAAGTCTGCGCAAAGCTGCAAAAAAAAAAATAAAAAAAATAAATAAATAACATAAAATAAAAATAATTAACACTATAATCTCAAACGGGCTGATGTGGCTCTTGAGTCGTTATGCTGTATATCTTGTAAAGTTTAGTAATGTAAATTCTATTTATGCAGAAGATTTTAATTAATAATCTGTTGCAGTGTCACTTGTACAAAAGTGTTTGGAAACGTTGGGTTTGATCTGCAGTGGATTGTGGGATTAAACCTCAGAGCTCCTTCTGCTGGATAATAACATGGATCTGTTAAAATAAGGAACATCCTGAGCTTCTTCTGTTAAAAGAGTTCATGTTTATGATTATGATCTGGATAACAGAGTTAATGCAAAGATGAGCTTGAGTTAAGTTGTTTTATTTATGAATGAAACAAAGGAAATATGTTTTATTTCTTTTATTTGACAGTTAAATTATTATTTATGTAATTAGGGTTTTTTGTAATCTTAAATGTTCCTATATGAACTGCCGACCTCTTACACTTACATTTAAAAAAAAAAGGACCTTGTGGAATTTGGCATATTTGTTTTTGCAGTTTTCTGTTTTAGGGGGTTATTTTTTCTTGTACAGATATCGAGATATATATCGTATATCGAGATATAGCAAAATATATCGAGATATATTTTTTGATCCATATCGCCCAGCCCTAGGGAGTACCATAAAGCTGCTTTCAGGAACATCTACACTCACTGTTTACAAACACATTTATCTCAGACAGAAATAAAGGCAGCTCCCTTAGCTATGATGCCTGCATCACTGGTTGTCATGGTAATGTGTAAAAAGATGGTTCCCTGTTGTTGCTATGGCACCTGCTTCACTGTAGTCAAACCTTTATCAGTTCTTGTTTTATGCACTTGTAGTGGGGTGAGAGATTCACAATTCATTTGTTAATTCGATTCGTCATAGGAATTATCCTGATTACAAAACCATCAACAGGTTCAAGTGGCAACATGGGAATGGACTGTAAGATTAACAGCAAAAGTGCAGAAATAGTATTGTAGCAACTGTAGCCTTTTGCAGCACACTGTAGCCTTTTAATAGTTTATTAAAATGAACAGAATGAATGATCAGTTAAGATTTTGCATAGTTCCAAAACAACTATTTCTATATTGTGCTTTTTTTTTTTTTTTTAATCTCCACCTCCACTAATCCTCGGCCTGCAGTATCCTAAATTATAAATGCATTTCAGTCAGTTTAGATGATAGTTTAAAAAAGAAACACAGGATGAGCTCTCGTCACATAAAGCTGCAGCAGGAGGAGACCGGGACCCACACAACAGTGTAAGGCTTCCCAGAAGCCTTCTGAGCCACTGGGCCCATGATGAGGACCTGTGACTTGTGCTTGGACCGGCTTCTCCAGACCAGCACTGGCCAGACCCTGAAGAACATTACAGCAGCAGCTCCAGACCAGCACACTCTCACATGTGCTCAGGGCCACATAGCCAACGAATCACATGTCAATATGATTGCATCTTTTTGCAATTATGACTGAACAGAAGAAGCCCATAGCATCCTGATGTACATCCAAACATGTAACCATTGTTCTTCTATTGTCTGTCAGGTCCAGAGAAGTGAGAACACAGCCTTACATCTTCTTAACTAGGGCCGTTTCACTGAGGACGGTGTACTGAAGCTGATGTGCAGTGGTGCCACAAATGCAGGACAATTGAGTGAATCATTCCACATGTTGCCTTTGACGTATGTTTGAGCTACCACAGCTTTTATAAGGCGTGGGACATTAAAAATGTTTGAATATTTTAGCACTCTCTCCCTGTTCCAATCCTCCTTATAGGTTAGCTATAAGATTCTGTGCAAGACTACACCCACAAGCCTACGTCAGCCATGCTCCCACACCAATTCTCCACAAATATACAAAACATGATAAAAAACTGTACACAGCAACGTCACAAACCTGATGCGATATACTTCATGTTCATTAGCGAGAGTCACACTGATTGTGAAAGGGCTCTGAAGGGGGAGCAAAGGAGGGGAGACTCAGAGCGTCAAACACAAAAGTGAAACTAATAAAACATTTGTGTATGTTGTTTTCATTTGTTTCTTGACCTAAATATGTTATGTGTTAGCAGTTAATACCCCATAGAATTAAAATTTCTCTCTTTAATCTTAGGTCTGTACAACATCTAAACGGAAAAATATTCCAATTTGCAGAACTGCAATTGATGATTTGCTTAAGTGAGCTTATTCAGCAGGAAGCCTGAGGGCCATCAGAAATGTGTCTGAGGGCCGCATCTGGCCCCCAGGCCATAGTGCACTGTTGTTAAACACTGTGCACTCCTTTCAGCTTATGTCCTCAGATCCACAAACACAGTGAAACAGCCAGAGATGTGGGAGGGTTTTATACCAGATGCCCCTCTTGTCAAAACAAGTCAATTACGACACACGTAAATGAACATGAGCAAAAGGATTCTATTATTAATTTAGGAGAGTTTGAGTGAAAAAGCACCTCACATAAACAGTTTGAGGGGCCATGTGCCTGACCCTTCTGTTAGTCCTTCATGACAAATGAACACTGTACACTGTACTGCAGCTGAGGGGACCATCACTTTACTCTGTGGTTACTCTGCACTGTCTTTTCAGTCAGCTCAGCCAGGATTCGGACCCACAACCTCCTGCGGTGAGACACGTGACCATCTGAAACTGATTCAGGTGATGTGTGCAGGTCTGGAGCGACACCTGTCTGGAATGCCCCTTTATGGAGGGGGGAGTGCGGATGCTGTACCGCAGTGTGCACCTCTGACTCTTTGCAGGAGCGGACAGAGGCCCAGACCCGCGGCTCCGTACCCTCGGTACACCGGAGCAGGTCTGAGCAGCTCCCGTTTGTCAGAGCGGAAATCATCCTAAACATCCGCAAAGCAGCGCCCGCCATGTTTGTACTCACAGAGCCGCAGAGCAGCGCTCGGGCTGGAGGCCCACGGCGGAGACCAGCGCACTGTTTACCGACGAACAGCAGTCGCACCTCGGTCAGACGGGGCGGTACCGTCCCCTCCCTCGCTGGACACACCGTCAACCAGAGCGTCGGTCCACCGGCGGTGTACGGTTCGTCCGCTCCGCTGGTGATCCCGGTTAGCCTTTAGCATGTACCGAGCGGACACGGGCCCGGGGCTCGGGGAGAACACTGCGGACGGTGTCGGTTCGCACAGCCCATTCTGTCCGGTCCAGGAACCAGCGAGACTACGGCGGCACGGTGCTTCCGGCGAGCACTTCTAAATAAAAGCGTTTCAATAACAAACACCAATGTCTCCGTATGACAATCGTGTCCAACACTACACTCAGGGAGGAGAGGGACACTGTGTCCCTGCCAGCCCGAGGGCCCAGGGCCCATAGAAAAGTCTTCTCCACGAGCATGCATGTTCTAAAGACGGTTTGGGTTTATACAGTCTGTGGTGGAGGTGCAGTAGTGTCATTTACTGAACGTCACAGGCTTTTATTTTCCTAAGCAAGTGACTTCCGGTGTGTCTGCGTGTATCTGAGCTGACTGAGACAAACTGGACTGAGTCAAGTCCAAGTCCATCTTCAAAGGCAAAGGTGCGTCAGGCCAAATATCTCACTGTAAGATCATGAAATACACGTTAGGTTTAGTTCATATTATGTTGTACATTATAGCTACAGCCTGTCCATATGAGCATCAGGCTTAAGGGGCCCCCAGAGATCTGTGGAAAGTCCCCATTCTGCATTCACACTCAAGCTACATTTACATGAGCAGCTTCACATGTACAGTATATGTGTTTTATGTGGACCAAAAGAGACATATATAATATATATATATCTATCATATATATATATATATATATATATATATATATATATATATATATATATATATATATATATATATATATATATATATATATATATATATATATATATATATATATATATAATTACTGACAATGTAACTTAAAAAAAACAAAAAACTTTGGTATTTTGGTATTTGAATGAAACTAGGACAAATAGCAGCACTATTCAGTGAAAAGATGGATATGTCACCTTGGCAAGTTGTGCCATTATGTCCTTTTATTCTGCAGTGGACTCCCTGCCCTGGGTTGGTGTAAACTATGACTATTTTGGGTTTCCATCATCATGTCCAAATGATTATCCTGTAACATGTTTCATACCAAATAGACTATAGGCCACTACCCAGCCTAGGCTATATTCTGCTCTTTCAGTGAATACAAGCAGAACAGTAGCATCCTGTAGTAGAAGTACAGACACAGAGTCATGTAGAGTTTTATTTGTAACAGTGTAAAGACAGAAGGCTGTTTGGGTTCGTGCATAAAGAGTCAGGCAGAACACATGTGTGCTACACAGACATTCAGACCATGACAACATCCAGACAAACTGCAGCTTCAGTCACTTGGACACAATTTACAGTTCATATTTCAATAACTCCGAAGTTTCCTTTAGTTTTTGTTAGAAATGAGAACTAAACATGCCTGGAGCAATACATTTAGACAGAGGTCCATTTGCAAGGACGCTGTTCCATCAGACTCAGATGTATTGTAGCATCAACTGGAAAATCTTTGCTCCACTCTAGAGGAAGGGATGCCATGAATGAAAATGTATTTGCCTGGGATCCAGAACACAGACCTCTTTAATACTGTAACTAAAGTACGTAATAAAGTTTGTAAATTTGTATGTATATATGTATAATCTCCCCAAGTTCAGATGGGTGTGATTGACAGGTGGCTTAGCCAATCAGGGAAATGGCCCATATGTATCAAAATAAACATGGCTGCTTATGAGGAAAAAAGAAAAGAAAAAATATCACTGGGGACTGAAAAACCTGGAAGACTTCAGCAGAATCAATGAGTGAAACACTAAATTGTTCATCTGAGGTCGGAGAAATGTCATTTAGTTCAAAATAATAGGTGACCACTGAGCGCCTTCGTTTCACATGCATCACTGAAATAAACAAATGTGATATATCTGCATAAAAATACAGAGATATCAGTCTGGATTCGCAAGGCAAAGGCAAATAATTGTGATGACTCAGGTCACAGTATCATTCTAATAACAAAAAGAAATAAAAATGTGACCATTTTAGAAGCAAAATGAATTAATTTCCCATCCATCTAAAGCAGGGGTGGAAAAATATTTTTTTCCCTGGGGCCACATGAGAAAAAGAAAATATTGTGAAGGGCTGGGCCAAAATGCTTAAATCAATTCTGCATAATATTAATTATATTTCTTTATAAAAAGCAGAAAATAACATTGTTTTGATGCGCTGGTCAGACTTGTAAGAGTTAATGTTATGACTAAATAAAAAAGTGAGTTTGCCTTTCAAAAAATTAAAAATATAAATGCTAGATGCTGCTTTAGTCCATGAATGAGGTCAAATGTTAAAATATGTTTATTTTGTAATTCCACATGAGCTTTAACAGGCCGGTCAGAGTCAACCAAAGGGCCGTATGTGGCCCTGGAGGTGTACCATGCCCAGGTCTGATCTAAAGCGTGCTCCTAAAGGACATCTAAAGTGTCTTTTTATGTCACATTACATGCCACTTTATCATTCAGAAAGTTCACTAAGCTGGTCACAGACTAGAGGAATGAGAAACGATGAAGAATTTGACTTTCATGTGGTCAATGACTGTGACCAGTTACAAGTGTAAAAGTTGATATTGGCATACTTAGGAGCTCTGTTCTTTGGAGGCCTATGAGACGTGGAGCTGCACAGTGACTGGTCTGATGTCTGTATAGCATTTTCACCGATCTGCTGCAAGAACAATAACAACTTTATTATAAAGAGCTTTTCAACATTCAAAACAGAATAGGTGCATTATTCACTCCCTCCTTGGTCACAAGTGCCCTTGGGCAGACTGACAGACGATGGCTGCCGTCCTGCTCCTTCGCCCTCTCCAGTCACCCAGCACATTCATACAGATGAGTGTTCTTGTCAAATACAGAACAGTGCGAGCAGACCATAAAAACAAGGGATTTGTACAAAAGTGGCGTAGAAAGTGCAGAGACTACATTCTACAGTCAGAGTGGACTATAAGCTGGACATCACAGTCAGTATTGGGCCCACATTGTCCCTTCAGCATGCTCCAGGCAGGAGCACAGAGCACAGAGCACAGCGCCCAGCGGAGGAGAGAAACATGGGGTGAATGCTGAAAAATACTGATAGTTACACGTTATACTGAAAACAGCTTTGTGTGAGAAAGCAGACATGGGCAGAGAAGCCACAAATTGCACTCAAGTAAGAGTAACATTTCTTCAAAATATTAATCCTCATTCAAGTAAAAGTAAAAAGTAGTAGTCCAAGAAATTCTGTGGAATAACTGCTGAGATGTGATGATTTATAAATGGAAGTGATTTTAAGGACACAACATGAAATAATGCAAAAAAAAAAAATCTGATCATTTCAAAGGACAAACACAAAAATGAGACAAACTAAATTATCTGTGAAGGAGCTGCAAGAAACACAAATGTTCAAATCATTTCATATTGTCATATAAAGCTTTTGTCACTCAGTGTGAAGAGGAGGCACAACCTTACTCAAGAAAGTGTACATTACTCAAGTAGGAGTATGCTACTAGGAAAATACAATGTCTTTATAATAGTTACTTGACTAAATGTATAACTGAGTAAATGAGTACTACCCACCTTCTATAAAAAAAAGCTGTTATACATCTTTGCTTTTCTACACAAATCATATAGCTTAAAGATGTTTTATGCTTTTGTCTGTGAACATTTTCTGGAATGTTTTTGATAAAGAACAAAACTAATAACGAAGACTGTTGGCAAGAATTCTGTGTTTGGGTCAGATATTCGACAGATCAAACAGAAGACTTCATTCTGAGAGCTTCTGTAGGTGCCATGCCACGTCCTCGTTTAAATGACTATGGATGCACAGGGCACTGGCATACATGTGTAGTGGACCACACACCTGCACTATGTGCATGTACCAGCACAATTACCGGCTCAGCTTGGTACATTTAGTCAAGTAGAAGTAGTAGTCAGCCCAACCCTACATGTCCCTCCTTCGCTGTGCTGTGTCTCCCTCCAGAGGGCGCTTACGAGGCTCTCTGAATGAAACAGGTTTGAATGTTCTGGATTTACACGGGTTTACACAGGGTCTGGTGTGAGTGAGGAGTTCGTGAGGTCCTATAAAAGCCTTGTAATAAGTAATAAAGCCTCTAGATGTAGTTTTTAATGAACGTGGAGTAAACCCATGAGGGCAAAGTAAGGCTAGCCCTCTGCACCCTCTGACCCTTTGACGTATGACCCTGTGACCCTGCAGGGTGAGGTGAGGCTGAGGCCAGAGAGGAGAGCCATCCTGAGCTGCTCCAGGTGAGGCACAACACCTGATCAGTATCAGGTGTGAGGAGCAGCAGGGGTCACAGCGGGAGTTAGGTCCAGTGCATGTTCTCTCCACACAGAGGTGCACAGGGAGTGCAGTCAGGAGTTAAAGCTAGAGTGTGCACGAGGAGTGTACGTGACGTGTGTGGAGCAAAGCTGTGTGTGATCTGTAACACAAACATGTGACTGTGGTGTGTGCTGTTAGGACAAGTGTGTCTCATGAGACAGTGATATGTTCATTTATGTTTGAAGGCACTTTTGCAGAGCTTACTGTAGCTCTCTCTAGATCTTCTGTATTACATTCTTACAAGTCTCTCCGCCCACACAGACCGGTGCTGGGACCACCATCCTGTGGACACACCTCTGCCACAGTTTGCTCAGAATGATCACATTCAGGCTGTGTCAGGCAGTCCTCCTGAGCAGGACCAGATTGTGTCCATGCCAGGGACATGTGGGACATGTGGACATCTGACCCGGGACAGATGGTGGCCTTGTGCTCCTCTGTAGAATCCCTGAGTCAGTGAACAGAGCATGGACCCCAGTGCAGGCACAGAACAGGGGACGCCTCAGGGACAGAGGTTAGTGTCGGGGCCGATAGGAGCCATAGGCCCTGGGGTACAAGGGGGTGTAGTGAGTAGAGTGACTGTAGGAGGGGCTGCTGTAGAGCACAGAGGAGTGACCCACAGTGTAGAGGGGCCGTGCTCGTGCTGGGGGGATCCATGTGGAGCGGCGGAGCCCTGAGGTGGGGGGGTGATAGGGCACTGAGGGCACCTGCCTGTCTGAACCGTACGACCTGCACAGAGGAGAACTGCGTGGGCCCACAGGGGACCTACTGACATTGAAACTGTGAGAGTTGAGCACAAATGTCCGCACACCCACAGTCCACTGGGAGGAGGCGGGTCTGATAGGGGCCAACAGGGGGCTGCAGGGGGATGAGGGGGTCTCTAGGGCTGGGGGCAGGTCTGTGGAGGCTGTAGCGGGGCTAGGAGGGGGGGTACTGGACACACATTCTGGGAGCGCCGCTGAGGGGCTTGTAAGGCCTGAAGGCGGACAGCTGCCTGGAGTCAAAGCTGAGGATGGTCGCTGAGATGCAGAGGAGGATGGGACTGAGGTTGGGGGGCTCACTTTTGGGGAAGGTTTGCCACCGCTCAGTCTGGTCCCCCGGGAGCGCCTGCTCTGCTCTTGATCAAAAGCCAAGTCCTCCAGACGCTGCGTCAGAGCCAGCTTCTGCTGAATGGCCATCCTCAGCAGAGAGTTCAGAGTCTTCTTCTCGTCCTCTGCTGCTGCCAACTGTCTCTGCATCTCGTCCAACTGGGACACATACTCATCACACCTGGGGGGACAGAGAGGACAGTGGTGGAAGTGGTGTGTCTAGGTGGAGGTGGTGTGTTCAGGCGGAGGTGGTGTGTTCAGAGGGCGGTGGTGTGTCCAGGCGGAGGTGGTGTGTTCAGGCGGAGGTGGTGTGTTCAGATGGAGGTGGTTCAGGTGTAGGTGGTGTGTTCAGGTGTAGGTGGTGTGTTCAGGCGGAGGTGGTGTGTTCAGGCGGAGGTGGTGTTTCAGGTGGAGGTGGTGTGTTCAGGGGAGGTGGTGTGTTCAGGGGAGGTGGTGTTCAGGGGAGGTGTGTGTTCAGGTGGAGGTGGAGGTGGTGTGTTCAGGTGGAGGTGGTGTGTTCAGGCGGAGGTGGTGTGTTCAGGGGGAGGTGGTGTGTTCAGGTGGAGGTGGTGTGTTCAGGGGGAGGTGGTGTGTTTTAGATGGAGGTGGTGTGTTCAGGGGGAGGTGGTGTGTTTAGATGGAGGTGGTGTGTTCAGGGGGAGGTGGTGTGTTCAGGGGGAGGTGGTGTGTTTAGGATGGAGGTGGTGTGTTCAGGGATGGAGGTGGTGTGTCAGTTCAGGGGAGGTGGTGTGGTGGAGGTGTTTCAGTGGAGGTGTGTTCAGGTGTGTGTTTAGGTGGAGGTGGTGTGTTCAGGTGGAGGTGGTGTGTTCAGGTGGAGGTGGTGTGTTCAGGTGGAGGTGGTGTGTTCAGGTGGAGGTGGTGTGTTTAGATGGAGGTGTGTTCAGGTGGAGGTGGTGTGTTCAGGTGGAGGTGTGTTCAGATGGAGGTGGTGTGTTCAGGTGGAGGTGTTGTGTTCAGGTGGAGGTGGTGTGTTCAGATGGAGGTGTGTTCAGCCAGAGGTGGTGTTCATGTCCTTTACCTGGTGGCAAACATGGCTCGGAGTGAGGAGAAGGTGGCCGCGTCTTCTTTGAGGGCCTTCAGCTCGTTCCTCAGTTTGGTCATGGTGTCCGTCACTAAAGACTTCTCTGCTTCATATTTACTCTTCAGGTTTGTGAGTGCGCTCTCCGCAGTCTGCACAACAATCAACAGAGGATTGGTGTCAAAATCACATGACCAGTACAATGTCTTTGTAGAGGGTCGGTGCAGAGGACGAAGAACATGGATACTGGGCAGAGGGTCAAAGGTGTGGCTGAGATGAAAATGAATTTTTAAAAAACAATTCTCTTGAACCACTCTCAAAAGCACGTGTGTTAGCAGACATGGAGCAGACTTATGGAATATCTTAGATGACTATATCAAAGCTTGTACTAACTTGGTGCACTTCAAAAAAGAATATAAAAATCAAATCTTAGAGAAATACCTAGAAGACTAGAGCCACTGTCTTCACAAGTAAACAAGACTATGAACCAAACACCTGCTTTTCTTTAACATTACCTTTTAATTTGATACGATCATAAACAATTCATTTTGTGCCTGGCGTCTTAAAAAAAAAAAAGAAGATAAGAACTAAGAAAAAAAGTGATTGTATTTCTGTTCGAGGGGTGAGTATATGGAACAAGTGATGATTTAAAACACAGGTGTCAAACATAAGGCCCGGGGGCCAGATCCGGCCCTCCAAGACCTTTAATGTGGCCCTTGGGTGATTTTCTACTAAAATATTTTATATGTTGTAATATGTTGAAATTGAATTTTTCTTAAAGTTTCAGGTTGTTCATAATGTTATAATATTATAATAAGAAAGAGTTCATCAATTAAAAAAGATTTCTGTAATAGATTTACATTTCTCTGCACAAATATTTGAACTTATTGTTATTTTTGGGGTTTATATGACATGAGTTTTCTGATCCGGCACCTTTGGGATCAAAGTAGGTTGGATACGGCCCCCGGACCAAAATGAGTTTGACACCCCTGATTTAAAAGGTCTAACACTGTAGAAGCCTTTAAAAAAGAGAAAAAACGTTATGTTTTGAAAGATATAGAGCTCTGAAATGAGTGAATTATGCATTAAATTTTGAATGTATTTTTTTTTTTTTTATATTTTGTCTCTTATATATACAGTAAGGAGTAAGTGAAATTGTAAAATCAAATTTGTTGTTCATATGCTGCTTTTTTTCTTGGAATTCTGTCATTGGTTAATAGAGTTTGGCATTATAGGTACTTTTTTATTTCAGCCTAAACCCTTTTGGTCATGATCCATGGGGTCATGGAGTCAGTGTTTTTTGTTGTGCAGTGCAGAAATGACTGAATAAACTACTACTACTACTACTACTACTACTACTACTACTACTGACTACTGACTACTGCTACTGCAGATTTATCCAAAACCATTGATTTGTCCCAATTTCATACAAGAAATCTCCCTGGTGTCCTTATTTTTGACCAATTTGACTTTATAATAATAAAGAGAGGCATAAGTTGTCATGTGTTTAGGTAAAATACCGAAACGCTGCTTAAAACGACCAAAATACAAAGAAAATGTGTCTAAAGTGACTCAAAGGTTCGTCATGAATGGTCTCTGCATAACAGTTTTCTTTAATTGCTGTGTCGTTTCACAATTTTATTATTACCACCACCAAAAAAAAGGAATGTCCCAGTTTTGAAATGTTTGAAATTTTGAAATTCTGGTCACCCTACACCAGTCGCAGTGTGATGTACCTGCTTGTTTGCCTTGAGCACCAGTCGCAGTGTGGTTTACCTGCTCGTTTGCCTTGAGCACCAGTCGCAGTGTGGTGTACCTGCTCGTTTGCCTTGAGCACCAGTCGCAGTGTGATGTACCTGCTCGTTTGCCTTGAGCACCAGTCGCAGTGTGGTGTACCTGCTCGTTTGCCTTGAGCACCAGTCGCAGTGTGGTGTACCTGCTCGTTTGCCTTGAGCACCAGTCGCAGTGTGATGTACCTGCTTGTTTGCCTTGAGCACCAGTCGTAGTGTGGCGATCTGTTCTTTCTTGGTGCTGAGCAGAGACTTGAGCTTGAGCAGTTCTTCCAGGCAGGTCTCTTTATCTTTGTCGATGAGCGGAGCGAGTTCCCGAGCTGCAGCCCTCTGCCTGAACAGCTGCTGAGAGCGCTCCACCGCTCGCTGGAGGTACTTCACCTGCACGGGAAATGCACTGTCACTACTACTGTATGCAGGATGAGGGGTTGAGTACCTGCTCTCTGATGAGGTGGGTGGGGCACCTACTCTCATGAGGTGGGTGGGGTACCTGTTCTCTGACGAGGTGGGTGGGGTACCTACTCTCATAAGGTGGGTGGGGTACCTGCTCTCTGATGAGGTGGGTGGGGTACCTGCTCTCTGATGAGGTGGGTGGGGTACCTGCTCTCTGATGAGGTGGGTGGGGTACCTGCTCTCTGATGAGGTGGGTGGGTACCTGCTCTCGATGAGGTGGGTTGGGTACCTGCTCTCTGATGAGGTGGGTGGGGCACCTGCTGTCTGATGAGGTGGGTGGGGCACCTACTCTCATGAGGTGGGTGGGGTACCTACTCTCATGAGGTGGGTGGGGTACCTGCTCTCTGATGAGGTGGGTGGGGCACCTACTCTCATGAGGTGGGTGGGGTACCTACTCTCATGAGGTGGGTGGGGTACCTGCTCTCTGATGAGGTGGGTGGGGTACCTGCTCTCTGATGAGGTGGGAGGGACACCTACTCTTATGAGGTGGGTGGGATACCTGCTGTCTGATGAGGTGGGTGGGGTTCCTGTTCTCTGACGAGGTGGGTGGGGTACCTGCTTTCTGACGAGGTGGGTGGGGTACCTGCTCTCTGATGAGGTGGGTGGGGTACCTACTCTCATAAGGTGGGTGGGGTACCTGCTCTCTGATGAGGTGGGTGGGGTACCTGCTCTCTGATGAGGTGGGAGGGACACCTACTCTTATGAGGTGGGTGGGATACCTGCTGTCTGATGAGGTGGGTGGGGTTGCTGTTCTCTGACGAGGTGGGTGGGGTACCTGCTTTCTGACGAGGTGTGGTGGGGTACCTGCTCTCTGATGAGGTGGGTGGGTTAAGTGCTCTCTGATGAGGTGGATGGGGCACCTACTCTCATGAGGTGGGTGGGTTAAGTGCTGTCTGATGAGGTGGGTGGGGTACCTGCTCTCTGATGAGGTGGGTGGAGTACCTGCTCTCTGATGAGGTGGGTGGGTTAAGTGCTCTCTGATGAGGTGGGTGGGGTACCTGTTCTCTGACGAGGTGGGTGGGGCACCTACTCTTATGAGGTGGGTGGGGTACCTGCTCTCTGATGAGGTGGGTGGGGTAAGTGCTCTATGACGAGGTGGGTGGGGCACCTACTCTCATGAGGTGGGTGGGGTACCTGCTCTCTGATGAGGTGGGTGGGGTAAGTACTCTCTGATGAGGTGGGTGGGGCACCTACTCTCATGAGGTGGGTGGGGTACCTGCTCTCTGATGAGGTGGGTGGGGTTCCTGTTCTCTGACGAGGTGGGTGGGGTACCTGCTTTCTGACGAGGTGGGTGGGGTACCTGCTCTCTGATGAGGGCGCAAAGGTGCTGGATGTTGGGCTCTCGGCGTAGCTCTGCAGGAGGGTCTGGAGCAGGTGACGAGGAGGAAGAGGAGGATGAGGAGCCACTGCTGGCTGAGGTGGGGCCCTCCTCCCTGGATAAAGATCCCTCCTCTCTGGACAGGGGCTCTTTAGAAGGGGACACTGGGGGGCTGCGGGACTCCCGACGACTACCTGCAGACGCTGCCATGAGCCGCCGAGCAAGGCGCGGTGTAAGCAGCACTTTACTGTTGTCTGTAGACATGGCTTTGAGCGTGGCACTCAGACCTCGCAGACCCCTGCCCTGTCTGTAACACAAGTCTGTTAGTGTCTTGTCCACACTACACCATGTCCATCAGTCTTCAACCTGCCCCTCTGTGTCCACAACCTGTCCCTCAGTGCCCACAGCCTGTCCCACTGTGTCCAACATGTCGATACACCCCCATCCCTAGAACAAAATTTCACCTTGAATTGCTGGGCCTTATAGTATCGGGTTGGACTGAACTAGGAGACATAAGGAGACAAAAGTGAGAATCTCTGCACAGACAGCAAGCCTGTCTGAAAAGTCACATGGTGTTACAGAGCAGTGGCCTGTGGGAGTGCAGGGACTGAGAGGTGCTCTGGGTTGTGGAGGTGCAGGGACCTAAAGGTGTAGGAGTGTATGGAGTGACAGGTGGGCTTGGCTGTGGGAGTGTAGTGACTGAGAGGTGCTCGGGGCTGTGGGAGTGTAGTGACTGAGAGGTGCTCGGGGCTGTGAGGTGCAGGGACCTGTAGTAGTCGAGCATGACGGTGGTGGGCGTCTCGTCGTTGCATAGGCACACGTGGTGGTAAAGCTGAGCCAGCTCCTCACTCAGCGTCAGCAGCTCCTCCTGAGTCGCGGTAAGAGCCCCTTCTCTGTCATTAGCCAAAGAAGACGCCGCCTTCAACTCCAGCTCCAACCGTGAAATCTGCCATTCAAAGCACGAGTTCTTTACAAATGAAAAAAAAAGAAAATACTGGTGCTCTGTCAGCACAATTCCAATTAATAAGCCCATATTACACTATTTTCTGATCTATGTTATAATGGCTCCAGGTATAATGTACCTGGAGTTGTGTGTTGTTTCATTTACTCATGTTTTACCATAGACTGTATATAAATGGACATAGCTAACATACTCGTCATTCCAAATAGGAAGTTTGCATGCGAGTGCTTCTGGCTGCTACTGATTCCTATTGACTTACACTGGAATATTGTGGCCCCTCTCTCTGTATCTGTGGGTGACATCACACTAACTTAGTCCACTTTTTTATACACACAAACGCTGCATATTTAGGCTGAGTTCTTCTCTCAAGCAGAAAACACTTGTGATGTTATGTGGTAATACAGGAAGTGCCCCAATGTGTTTTTAACCTCCACACACGTTCACTGGGATCATTTGAATGAATTCAGCGCTGGATTTGCCAATCTCTGCTGAACAAAATGTAAAAGGTCAACTTAAAAACTACCACTACATGACATCACAAGGTGGAGCAGAGCATTTTGAGCTTTGGAGATGTTGACAGACTAATAATAAACACCAGGTACGTTTTTGAGGAAGCAACACAAAAAGTTCACAAGAGGCAATTTTGTGCAATATAGGACCTTTAGACACAGGAATTTGGCATTACCTTCTCCTGTGCGTCCTGACAGTTCTTCTCAAGTCTCTGGAGCTGACCATGCCTGTCCTCAGACCTCTCCTCACTCTGAGACATTTTGTCCTTTAAACATCTGAGCTCGGCCTTCAGCTCCACCATCTCGTTCTCTGCCATGCGGTATTTGAACTGCAGGACCTCAAGCCCTGAGGTTTGCTGGGAAAACCCCTGTGAGCTCAAAGAGTCCAACCTTAGCTCAGATCTGGTGCCTGCATTGTCCTCTTGGTTCAGTGGGAGCTTGCTGCCATGGGCCTCATGCTGCAGTGGATCTTTGCTGCTGTGGGCCTCCTGGTGCAGCTGGGCTGTGTCACAGTGGGTCTCCTCGTGCTGGGGGTGGTGCAGAGCAGTCATTCTCTGAGTGAGATGCAGAGCCCACTCATGCTGCTCTGTCAAGGCCCCTTGTGTGTGTATGAGCTGGGCCTCAGACTCCTGTAAGCTCTTCAGGAGAGCCACCTTCTCCTGCTCCACCTGAAGACAACAGCAGCATGAGAGGAGCAGGAGCATGAGGCAAGACACAGGCTGAAGCTGAAGTCCAACCCTGAACACTGAAGTAACACTAAATGTGAGGATTTGGGTTTACTGGATATTTTGATCAATAATAGTGCATGTTTATTTGTAAATATTTTAATATTATCTCCAGTTAAAGAGCACAGTGTGGACTGTCTGTGTCTTTCTTACTACATAATAATATATACTCTCAGCCCATATTCTCCACTGCATTGTGTACTGTGGCTGCAATAGGTATTGGACATGTCAGAATTTTTCAAAAAATAAATGAATTCAAAAGCACAGTGGGTGAGCATGCTTTTGTATGAGGTATGATACTACCCTGAAAAGCAGTGCTGAAACCTCCTCTGTACTGACCGTGAGCAGTTGTTGTCTCAGCCTCTGGATCTCTGTGAGGTTCATCTCTGAGTGGAGAGTGGAGGAGCTGCTGGAGCAGTGCAGAGGAGCTGCAGGTGCCCCTGCCCCACTCAGAACAAGACCGTTACACCTGAACACAAGCACACCTTAGAAACAGGACCCCAGTTAAACAGCACACAATCATCTGCCTCCATCTGAGCATCCTCACCCATGAGGGCATAGGGAGCTGAGGGCTGAGGGGAGGAGGGAGTCAAACTCTCGCCACAGAGAGTCAGCTCACCTGCAGGGGTCCTCAGAGTAAGGGGACAGAGCTCACCTGTTGGGGTCCTCAGAGGAGGGGGACAGCAGGGTGTTGGGGGTGCCGGCTCCACTCGGGGGGGCAGAGGTGAACAGGAGGTGCGCTGAGCCGGTGTAGGCCACGTCACACATGCTGAGGTGGTGCAGCAGCTCCCTACGGAGGAGCCTCTTCTGCTCCCTCTCGCTCTTCAGGGCCTCCAGAGCTTCCTCCAGCTGACCCTCAGAGAGCTCCCTCAGCCTCAGCGCGTCCTGCAGCTGGCCCTGCAGCACCTCCGCCTCCTCCTCCACCACCTTCAGCTCATGCTTCAAGCCCTCAAACTCCACCTGCACACATACACACATGCACATGCACATACACATGCACATGCACACGCACACACACACGCACACACGCACACACTTTACATTTCTTACAATAATATAAGAGTTCAAAAACTCCAACCATTGTCCAATCACAGGGCCTATGTAACTTAACTAGCCAAAGAAGAAATACTGCTCACAGCTTTGTTTTTTAAACACATGCAGTGGGAAGTTCTTTGCCCATTTATGGAGGGAAAGAAGTGAGCTTTTCTCTCCATTCAATGAAAGTTTGATTCCATCCATCCATTTTCTTCCACTTGTCCGGAGCCGACTTGCAGGGGCAGCAGTCTAAGCAGGGACTCCCATACTTCCTTCACCTCAGACACTTCCTCCAGCTCCTCCAGCTGAAGTTTGATTCCTCTGTCTTGATTTTAACATGTGTGTTTGTGGTACCTGATTGTGTGTGTGTGTGTGTGTGCTTGCGTATGTGGTACCTGGTTGTGCTTGAGCGTGGCCACTAACTTCTGCAGTGAGATGTTCTCCTCCTCCAGCTCACTGTAGTCCTGCAGGAGTCTGGCCTCTCGCTGCTTCACCTCCTGGAGCTCCTCTGTGAGCCGTACTCGCTGCAGCTCCAGGGCCTGACTCTTCTGTGCACAGAACACAACATGGAACCATCAGTCTGAACTCTATTTGATGTGTAGGCAACTGAGAAAGGAAGAAACTACTCTGAGATCCGGTGGCTCATTTAGAACACTTACTGATTAAGAAATTATTTAGTGAAGCAATACTAGAGCAGACTGAGGAGGTCACAGAGAGCAGGACAAGGCATGTGTGTGTTGTCCAGGAAGTATGTAGTTGGATCTAGGGCTGCATAATATGAGAAAAGTATGCAATCTTTGATAACTATGTTTTGTATTGTGATAATGATGTTATTGCAGTATTTGAATATACTTTTTGGCATATCAAGTTCAGTTAAATGAAAACAGAAGAGTGTGTGTACGCGTTTGTGTGTACACGTTTGTGTGTGCGCGTTTGTGTGTGTGCGTGTGTATGTGGTACCTGGTTGTGTTTGTGTCTGTGTGTACATGTGTGTGTGGTTGGCCCCACCTCTCGCATCTCCTGCACAGTCTCCCTGAGCTGCTGCCTGTCAGCTTGGCTGCCGGCTGCACTGGCCCTCTCCTCCTTGAGCTCCAGCTGCAGCTCCAGCAAGCGGCTCATGTAGTATGCTTCTTTGGAGGCAGACTCCTGCAGCAGGCTCTCCTCGTTGCTCTCACTGTCTTGGGCCACTCGGCGCTGGGTGGAGTAGGCCTGACTGAAAGCCTGCTCACAAACACAGGCTGCTCAGACTCACATGACAGCTGTTTGCCTCATGATAACAACAACATTCCTTGGGCAGTAAACACACCAGAGCCATTGTAACATGGATTCATTCTGCCTGTTGGTACAGCCTAAAAAAAACAAAATTGATCAAACACATTTGAATGGTCACAATAATCAAATGCAAAAATCATCAGCCAATTGCCTTTAGACCTTTTTCCTGTCCCTCTTTCAACAGGAGCAGAGGCCAGTATCCATAATGCTGTTTCTTCAATATCATGTAGTAAAGTGACACTGAACACACAGTGCATTTCATTGATTCATTCATTAACTTGGCCTGGCGGCTGACGTCAAGTGCTTGTCTCCATGGAAATAAATACATTTATACTATACTGTAAATTAATCCAGGTAAACCAATAACTTCTTCTAGCTTTTATGGTACAAGTATGAAACTTTGCTAGATTAGTAACACCCCCAGGACTATTATTTCTGGATATGGAACCAAGTCTAATTCAGCACCGGAGCTGAGAACTGGACATGTCAAAAAATGGACTATATGAAAATGAGTCTGACTTAAAAAATACTACATAATCCCTTTCTTACAGTCTAATTTGTTTAGTTATCCATTTTGTAATGTTGAACAACTATTTTTCATAAACTCCAAAGCATTAAGGCAGTCACATGATCGTTTTCCTCGAGAATGTAAGGGTTGTGTGGGTTCCCTGTGGCTGAAATCCAAGTTAATACAATATTTTATCTTTCAGAGCCATATTTATTGGGTTTTTGATAACAAAACACATTTTACCATCTCTAAAGATCTGTAAGTGCCATATCATGGTTCATAATGATAATTAAATGCTGCATGGAAGCGAGGCTTAACCCCAAACACTTAACAGAGATCTACCTTAAATCAGTAAACTTATTCAAAGTGCTCTAAGTGCAGCTGCTGCCACATTTGCATGAACCTGTACACGCCAAATTTGTCTTTGGACACTTGCATCACCCAGCACAGGCTTCTGCATCCACACTTTTTAAGATCATAGAATGTGTCCTTTGCCACTTGTCCTAACCAGTGACTGCCATCACACTTCCATACCCAGTCTGCAGGGCTGGGCAGATCTGGTGTCTTAAAATTCTAAAATTCTTAATGGTGCATTATAACTTTTCTGGTGGGGGGTCCACAACCTGCTTCTTTCATGAAGATGTTACAGCTTTGGCTGGAATGTTCCACTGTATGGCATTAAACATACCAGTCTTGTGTTTATTCAGTTAAGGATTGAAAATGTGTTTATTGCTCAAATATCTAAAATACATATATTCTTACATTTAGCAGGGTCTCATGTCACCAGGGAGATGGATAAGGTTAATGTCATATGGTGAAAGCAAAGCAATAACATTTCCATGGAGACAAGCAAGTATCTCACCTTCCACTGGAAATTACAGAATTACATTGTGAACCTAAAGACGTTAAATTGCATTGTCCTTTTACATAGCCTTTACATAGCCGTCTCACATTATGAGAAGAAAAAAAACAAAAAAAAACATTTCAGCAGTTTAAGCATTTAGTTTTTTAATTAGACTTTATTTTAACATTTGAAGCTAAAACATAGTAAATTTGTGGTCTTAATAATGGGTTTATATCTTTATTACAATCCATATCTCACTGTAGTACAGGTGTGAACAGAACCTCCTCTTTAGATTAAATTATAGTCTGAATATCTACAGCTCATTCCACATTGAGAGATCACAATGAAAATATGACACCATCACAAAACCTGGTCAGATCTTGCCTTAATTTTGTCATAATCCCAAATCACCATTTTCACAATTTCTTAGGTGTTTTCAGTCTGGTGTGGGATTACTGGAATGAACTGTCCACCTCTGCTCTTGTCATTATTGTTATTATGATACTGTGATGTGTTTTGGGAGGGGGGTGAATTAATTTGGTGATGATTGTGGTTTATTCGTGGCACATGCAAAATTTAAATTCATCACTGTGACCCCTTAAAAGAAAATTTAAGCACAGATGTTGCTAATGTAACATTCATTCATTATGGTAAGGATAATCAAATGCAAGATCATTTACACACTGGCAATTCTAATATTAATGCAGATATTTTTTGGGCAGAAATTTGTTAGTAATATTAAAGATGTACTATGTAACTTTTCTGCTGGGAGCAATAATGGCAATGTTATATTCTTCCTCAGTATGGCATTAAACTTTTCTATCTCCTTGGAGACAAGCCAGTGGCACAACCAGGCCATGTTTACAGGTCAGATCTATGGAGAGGTGACCCCACTCACAATTAGAATTCATGTTTTTTCAAGGTATTTTTGAGCAATAAAAACACCTAAAATAAAATTAAGGTTACATAAATAAATGTATACTGCTGAATATTTCAGGCAACGCAATGAAATCTCCATGGTAACAAGCAGCCGTAACGTCCAGAACAAGACTGAATTAAAGAAACTTAAGTCAGCTTCAAGTTTTATGTACAAAGCCTTAAATACTAGTCACTTGTGTAGTTAGTGATTTTTATATGTGTACTTTATACTTTGACTCAAGTACAAGTTTCGCAGTAGTACTTGTAATTGAGTAGATGTTTTGCTATGTAACTGTACTTTTATTCACAGATTAGTTTTTTCACCATTTGAACCAGGAAACTTAAAGGAAGACCAAAGAGCTGATTGAACCATTGAAAATATAGACTAAACAAAGAGGAGGGAGAGAGAAATGAAGATAGAAAATCAAACCTACACAAAACTATGTTTTACATTTGCCTTAAAGTGGGACTAAACACCTAAACTCCACCCACAAACACATTTCAAATAGATCTGATAAACTGAGTTACCTGGAGGACTAAAGAAGAGAGTGAAAGGAGAGATGGGCGGGGCTATGGGGTATAAGGAACAGTGTGACAGGTATCCACAGGACAAACTCCCCCTCATAGCCAGGGTTTTGTAAACAGAAACAAGAGGCTGTAATCAGGGCAGTCCTGTGTGATGTCACATAGTACTTGATACCACAGAGGTCACTAGAGTTCACACACACTCATTTTTACACATTTTTGATCAGATTATTTAGCAAATTTACCTAATTTGCTCTAAGATTACCAAAAAAAAAAAGCTAGAAACTAGAAAGAGTAAATAATACTATTAAAGATGCACAGTGTAACTTTTTGACTGGGGGTCTGTCACCTGCTTGTTAGTATGGATATGTTACTGCTCTGCCTAGAATGTTCCACAGTATGACATTAAACAGATCTACCTTACATGTATTCAATCACAGGTGGTTTTATTGCTCAAAAATACCTAGAAAAACAAACATTCTGACTGTGAGCGGGTCGCCTATCCACAGATCTGACCTGTAACTTGGTCTGGTTTAGTCTCCATGGAGATAGAAATGTTTAATACCATACTGTGGAACATTCCAGCAAGCAATAACATCTCCATGGCGACCAGAAAAGTTACACAATGCACCTTTAAAAAAAACACCATTAGTTTGGTAGCAAATATCTTTTTGTGATTTCATTTTTACTTTCATTTTAAAAACGGCATTGAAACCGCTCTGCAGTAGCTAGTATCTTGAGAATACATATTCTTCTTTATTACCTATATGATTATTTAACATTATTTTCCAAAAAAGGCAGTTTAAGCAATAATTTAGCTCCCAGCCTTGTTTCCATGTCAGCCATTATGTGACATGCATGGTACTCGTCTCCAGGGTCGACTTGGGCTTGGTTCCACATCCAGAAATGTTGGTCCTAGGGATGTTACTAATCTGGCAAAGTTTCATGCTTGTACCATAAAAGTGAACAAATGAGCACTATTTTGGTCCTTAACAGCTCCACTATAACAGCAGCTTTACATAGTAAACTTGTGAAGTGGCCTTAACCTGTCTGTGAGCAGCAGTCAGACTGAAGCATGTTCCTCTGTCACGTGACCTTGTGGAGTAAGCTTCTGTTTTTAGCACGGATGCATTTTTCATCAGAACACTCCCCATCAGATACATCAGCTCATGAAGCGCGCGCGCACACACACGCGCGCGCGCACACACACACACACACACACACACACACACACACACACACACACACACACACACACACACACACACACACACACACACACACACACACCCCTCGCCGCGGCGCTGTGGGACTGCCTATTGTCACTGCACAGACACAGAATGGCCTAGGTTTTATTATTATAAGCACCCAGGCTCAGTAAGCTAATAGAATATAGACTGTGTATGCGGCGTGTTGAGGTCTCTGGTAATTAGGCTTTTTTATGTTAAATCGGTGACTTATCTGATGAACTTGTGTTTGTTAAGAACTGTCCGAGCCCATGTCCTACCTCCTGTAGCTGCTCCAGCTCCAGCCTCAGCGCCTCCTGCTCGGCCTCCAGCTCCGCGCATCGCTGCTTCAAACTCTGGTTCTCCTCCAGAACCACCAGTCCACACTCCGCCGCCCGGATCTTCTCGCGGTTGGCCTCCGCCAATTCCCGTGTCAGGCGCTCCACGTCGGCCCGACAGTGCTCCGAGGTGTCCCCGCCACATGCCGCTCCCCCCGCAGCCATCGCCCCCTCCCTCGGTCCCTGTGGCCTGCCCTGGTCCCAGGATGAAGAAAGCCAAAGTTAGTTAAAGCGCAGAGAGCAAAAGGAGAACAAAGGCGTCGCCACAGATGCACACAGCCGTGTCATGGTTCCGTGATGCTGAGAGTGCGCGCAGGACACCGCCTTTGGACACGGCCACGAGCATCCTTCCTCCGGTCTGTTTTTGCTTATTCACCGGTGTGGAGACAGGGACATCTCCACTCGCAGCGCGTCTCTGTGGCAGCGACCCCTGCTGGCGCATGTGCGCACCACTCTGGTTGGGTGTTCTGGGCCGGTGGTGTGGGCCAGGGACTGTGTGTGCTGCGGAGATGAAATGAGAGCCCGTGTGTCGGGTAACTTTTTGGCATTTGTATGTTCATATTAAATACCGTAGCCTAAACATCCATATTTTGTTCTTAATGAGTCCAGTTTCACTTAGATCCAGTTAATAAAATACTGACTATTGAATTTTGTTAGAGCTGGACTTTTTCAAGTTTTGTTTTGTGGCACATTTGGCCTGATAAATGGAAAAATGCGCCTCGCCAATGAATGAATCTGAGGGAATAAAACAAAGCGCGTCCTGACCACAGACAGTATACGGTCCTCACCAGTTCCACTTCTATAATGAGCAGGTCCCTGTGGCATCATCACTGCAAACTACTGCGCAAATGTTTAGGGGAAACTGCGCACTGACCAGGCGCTTGATGTCCAGTCCCAAAGGCTTCTGGACACGGACTGCAGAGTTTCTGTAAAGTTTCTGTAATTTCCTGTTCTTTACTGTAGGCACTGGCTTTACTTGCCTGCCCAACCTAAAAAACACGCGTTTAGTGGTCAGACAGCGCTTAATGGACAGTCTGTGGCCGTCCGTTCTTCTACTAGCTCCATGGTCCAGGTGTTTTATTGTGGAGGGGTTCGGGGCAGAGGCCGCTGCCGCTCACGTCACGCCGCCGCCGCTGCCTCACCTCCGCCGCGGAGCTCCGCCGCTGCGCACGTTGCTAGTTAGTTGCAATGTTGTAGCTATTAGCACGTTAGCCGTCCACACGAGCTGTTTTTCCAGAAAACTAAAGGACTGTGTTTATTGACCTGAGCAGAGTCCACACCACAGCCTTTAGATCCGCCTCACCGAGCGGCTGCCTCTTCTCTCCGCGGTCCCTGTCACGTAGCCGTTAGCCGCTAGCCCCCGCTAGCCCCCGCTAGCCTCCGCTAGCCTCCGCTAGCCCCGCTAGTCCGTGTGCGCTGTCAGCCGCGGAACGAGCCTCTGATAGGGCCATGGCTATGAGACAGACCCCGCTCACCTGCTCCGGGCACACTCGGCCTGTGGTGGACCTGGCCTTCAGCGGAATCACTGCCTACGGATACTTTCTCATCAGCGCCTGCAAGGGTAAGTCCCAGAACCACGGCACCGGCACCACGGCACCGGCCCGGGGCCGCTACTATTAACGGGGCTCAACAATAGACCGTACAGTCTACGGGCTCAACGTCACCCGATTCATGCGGATGAAAACGGGACTGGGCTTGGATCGGGAGTGGTGGGTTTGGGTAGCCTCATGACACATTCTTGCCAAATATATTTTCTAGTGGTCCTGTCAAAGCCTTCAGCTCAGATACCACACAGACACACACACAGCTGTACTACACACTACAGAGTAAGACAAACTAATGCCCCAACACTCTGAAGTCATTCACTTGGTCCAGTCTGAGGACTGACAACTGTCAAAAGAGATAAGTCACTTTTAAGCTCTCTTCTGCCAGTGAGATGTCCTCAATGTTGGAATAACTGCTGCATCAGTTTGATCCAGAAGTAATGACTTCAAGGGCTCATATTACGCTATTTCTGATCTATGTATAATGTGTTGGTTTCATTCACACATGATAAACACACAAATCCTGCATTTTTCGACTGAGTTCTTCTCTCAAACTGAAAACACTCAGTTCCACCTTGTGACGTCTCATACTAATACAGGTAGTGCTGCACTGTGCTTTTAAACTCCATACCCCTTCGCTAGAATCATTTAGATGATTTCAGCCCTGGAATGTTTAATCTCTACTGAACTAAAAGTAGAAAATAGCTGTTAACTTGAAAATTACCACTACATGACATCACAAGGTGGAACAGGGCATTTTGAGCTTTGGAGATGTAGGCAGACTAATAAATGTGTGAATGAAACAAAACACAACTCCAGGTGTGTATTTGAGGAGGTAACAACATCTTAACATGGCTAATGCCGGATTTTCACTGACTGCAAGTGTGGTGCAGTACATACTTTGAGCAGGTTACTTACAGATTGCCTGTTACACACACAGAAGTTTTCGTAGTTGTGTATCTGACCAAAGCAGTGCGGTTTCACCTGTACTCCTCAGAGGTCAGTGTGGCAGGCTGCATGGGTTTTAATAACTACACACGAGTCCCATACTGCACCACACTTGCAGTCAGTTTACATCGGGCATTAAGGCTCACTAGAATGAATCTTATGTAATTTAGGATGTTTAAGGCTAAAATGGCCTTGAAAGTCAGACTTTTTGAACCCTTGTGTGCTTGCTCTGTTACAGATGGTAAGCCTATGTTGCGCCAAGGAGACACAGGGGACTGGATTGGCACGTTTCTGGGTCACAAAGGAGCAGTCTGGGGAGCCACCCTGAACACAGACGCAACCAAAGCAGCAACCGCTGCGGCCGACTTCACAGCGTGAGTCTGCCCCCTTTATCTGCTCAAGACCACGTTTAAGAGCTTTAGATTTGAAAGTCTTGAATAGTTTTGGTCTTAGCTTTTCAATAAGAAATCATCAGAATTACTAAACGATATTTTGGATGATGGCAATAACTTTAGGACACTTAGCAGGTTAATACAAATACAAGGCAATGCACTTTTTTATATGCTCTGTATCACTTCACAATTTCATACATTATTCATTCACATTCGGTGGTGAAAAGTCACAGCTGCCCTTAGGGTTGTCAGAAATATCCAAAAGCAGATACTACTTGAAACTAAAACAAATGTCAAAAGCACAGGTCAGACTTTAGTCACTATTTTTAGGATTTGAGACATGACTTGATAAAATGGACTAACACCCGGGACTCGACTTGAACTTGAAGCTCAATGACTTGGGACTTGGATTTGAGGCCTGTGACTTGAGAAGACTTGATGCTTCTAAAAATATAAGTGTTTTTAGAAAATACTTTTCTCTTTACAGTTGATAAATGTGGTGCTTCATTTTACAGGAACAAACTGGAACATCCCTCCCACTTCTAGTTGTTACTTTGGATGTAACTGAAAACTGAAATACTGTGATATGGTATCCTCAAATGTACTACAGTAATATACAATGCAGTAATATACGGTACATTACAGTAATATACAGTACAATATAGTACAATATAGTACAATACAGTACAATACAGTACAATACAGTAATATACAGTAATATACAGTACAATATAGTACAATACAGTAATCCATCTAGCCATTTTCTTCCGCTTATCCGGAGCAGCAGTCTAAGCAGGGACTCTCAGACCTCCTTCACCCGAGACACTTCCTCGTGCAAGGGGGGACCCCGAGGCGTTCCCAGGCCAGCCGAGAGACATAGTCCCTCCAGCGTGTCCTGGGTCTTCCCCGGGGCCTCCTTCCGGTGGGACATGCCCGGAACACCTCCTGAGGAAGGCGCCCTATACAGTACAATACAATAAAACAGGGAAATACACAGAACATAATTGTTCCGTTTCAGTGCAAACTACATGACAAAATAATTAAGCCCTTTTCAATCAGAATTTTTTCTGTTCTAACTGTAATGATTCACACAAAAATCTTGTAAAGACATTTAAAAAGGAAAAATTTGCATTTCTACAGTTCTTATATAAATACTCACTTAAATATACCACGACTTTTTAAGTAAAATTTAGTAATTGCAGAAATCTAAACTATATTTGGTACTTTGGTTTAAAGACTTGAAATGACTTGACGGACACAGAGATGCAATATACAAACTTGGGATATAGCAAAAATAAAGACTTTATCACTCACCTCTGGTAAAGTGGTAAATTTAAAGTGCAGCATCTCATCCACATTATCCGTAGAAATTGTCCTCCACAAATATTGACATCCAGTCCAAAAAACCACGCTATTAAACCGGTTTGAGGCGTTCTTATACAGTAAACAGGTGAGAGTAGTTCTTCATGTGTGTCCGTTTACAGCGCACAAATCGAGGTGAAGCTGCAGATTTTAAGTCTCATAAGTTTCTCCTCGTGTCTGTGGTGTGCTTTTTGTTGCACGTTTAAAAATAGAAGAAAATCCTGTAGTGTGGCAGCTTTTAGTACTGAAATTGAGTTTGAAGTTTTAGTTTTGTGACAACACTAGTTACGGTGCAATATCACAGTGGCAGAAAGGAAAAAGTTCAAACTGTGTTTCTGACTCACATTTTGAAATCAAATACAGGCCCTCTGAAAAAAACACAAATGAATAGACATGACTTAATCTCAATCTCACTTAAAATTTGGGCCCATGTGCAGATGCTCTAAGCACGGAGCCCCTCTTGCTATCCTGGCTTTATGTTCTGGTGGATGTTCTGGTGGATGTTGGTCCCAGTTTGTGACTTGTTCTGGTTTGGTTCTCCTCAGAAAAGTGTGGGACGCAGTGAGTGGAGACGAGGTGCTGACGCTGGCCCACAAACACATCGTGAAGACGGTCAGCTTCACTCAGGTCAGCCCCACACTGCTTTTCTCACCTCATGTAACAGTGCCTGCGGTGGAAGTAGTCTGTAGGACGGCTCTGACTGTTGTGTGTTGTGTGTTTGTAGGACAGCTCGTGTCTGCTCACTGGAGGGAATGACAAGCTGCTGCGTGTGTACGACTTGAGCAGTCCAGAGGCCGGTAAGAGCTCTTACACAAAAAAACACTATTTGTTTGTTTTGATCTCAGTTATTGAAAACACGAGTATGGCAGGCTGAATTCTACTCTAAGCCTGTCATGTTAACACATTTAGAACAATCCTCATTAAGTACACACAATAAATATTGTTCTGTCTGGCCCCCACCCCGTCCATGTCCCTGTCCCTGTGTGCAGCCCCTCAGGAGATCGCAGGACACACCTCAGCCATCAAGAAGGCGCTGTGGTGCAACAGTGACAAGCAGATTCTATCTGCATCTGAGGACAAAACTGTGCGGTCAGTACCTTCCAGATTGTCCACTCACACAACTACACAAACACTACACAAACACTACACAAATGCAACCAGCCAAAAGTTTGGACACATTTTCTGATTCACTATTTCTTTTCTTCATTTACTACTTTCTACATTTTAGATACAGACTGAAAACTTCAAATATATCAGTCAGATGTATGGAATTATAATTAAAAAGAGTGTCTAAACTATTGACTGGTAATGCACATCCACACTACACTACACACCCTGTTCTGTGCTCTCTCCTGGTCTGACCCTCTTCTGTTCTGTGCCCCTGTGTAGGCTGTGGGACCGCGGCTCCATGGAGGAGGTGAAGACGCTGTCCTTTGACACCTCGGTCAGCAGTATGGAGTATGTGGCAGACGGCGAGATTGTGGTCATCACCTACGGAAAGACCATCGCCTTCTACAACGCGCTCAGGTTCAGTGCACTCTGGGTCACACTCTGGGTCACACTCTGGGTCACACTTATTAGGGCTCAGTCATATGGAATTTTTTTCCACATGACTGAGGAAATCATAATAAAGACACATTCGGGAACAAAGGTGCTGTACCTGATTTTTACTGGTCTGCAGTGGCCAAAGTGATCTCACTTACCTTATATATGTATGTATTCTGAGCATACTTTTTAGTATTAATATTATATAGAAATAATAGAACAGAGAAGAACAGGTTGAACAGGCGTCTGGTATGTTAATGTAACATATGAACAGTTCTTCAGATAACTATTGCATAAACAACATACTATAACAAGTTTACCAATTACCGTATTTTCCGGGCTATTAGTCGCTCTGGATTATAAGGCTCACTGTCATTAAATGGTCTATTTTCAAACTTTTTTCACAAATAAACCGCACTGGACTTTAAAGGAAACCCAACAGTGTGATGGGTGAGTGGTTTTGTTTGTTTGTTCGTTCACGGTGACTCTGGGCTTTGTTCAGTTGTGGCGTGTAGGGAGGGTGCTGTCTGGGACCAGCGGATTGTCAGCGTTCGCAGTGACTCAGTTGTTCAGTTGTGTCTAAAAGTGGCACATTGCACTCGCTTTTTCGGTTCGTTCCTCAGTTCCGTTCCTCGTCGGCGTGGAGTGATGAGTGTGTCTGTGGGTGTGTTTTGCTGTGCGGTCGCTGTCTGCTCCGTGTGTGTTTTTGTGTTCTGCGGGTGGTGCGGCTTTGTAGTTTATTGAAGTCGTGCTGGGACACCTGAGTGGATTTGTGTATAGGGCGCTCTGGATTGCGGGGTGCGCAGTCGTTTTTTGATGGGGTTAGGGGCTTAAGAGCGCATCTAATAGCCCGGAAAATATGGTACTTCTCACTCCAAATCACTAAATCCATTGAATTCTTCAACCTCGTTGTCACTTCTTAGCAACTCCGCCAACTCTAGCTAAATCTAGCTTTTAGCCTATTATTTGTTTTTGGTTTTTTTGTTTGCTTGTTTGTAGAATATCCACTTTTTGACAGTCCCTCACAACTTTCCAGACTTTCTTTCTGCTGCTCAATTACCATATTTCACTACTTGCAGCTTGTAATCTGCAGAATATGATTAAGAGTTTATTGACATGTCATAAAATAAGTTCTGATGCTAAATGAACATTAGTGAGTGGGATACTTAATGATCCAGATGTGTTAGATGCAGGTGACGAGTAAATGATGAGAAGAAATGTCTCAAACTTCAGTAGCCGCCCATCCACTCATACCTGATCCATACACCTATCCCTGTCCTCAGGAGTTTGAAATCGGCTCAAATCCTACAAGACTGACATGATACAGACAGGACAGAGGCTCTTTCTGCAGGAGACATGTGCAGTAGAGCCAAGTGACAGTGGTACAGGAGGAACAGGAGCAGCAGATACTGACACACAAGACTAAAGCTTCTCGAGGCTGTCAATGTGAAAATAACGAGCATGTGAAAATACATATTTTAATATATAGTCTTGCCTGAGTATAAGTCGCAGGACCATCCAAACCATGAAAAAGCTGTGACTTAGTCCGAAAAATACAGAACTCATTTGAGCAGGTATAAAAAAGTCCCATTCACAGAATGGAAAAGAACCTTTCCTAAATGTCTTTAGAATGATCCTGAGCTATCAGGACAAGTATAAGAGCACATAGTATTTTTAATTATTGTGATATCCAAATCTATATACATTCTATTCCGTAGTATTGAAAAGTATTATTTGACATTTTCCTCACAGTGTATTTCTCTTCACAGCCTGGACCTCATCAAAAGTGTAGAGGCCCCTGCTCCCATCAACTCTGCTTCCTTGCACCCAGAGAAGGACTTCTTTGTGGCCGGAGGAGAAGACTTCAAGCTCTACAAGTTTGACTACAGCACCAAAGAGGAGCTGGGTGAGGGCTCCAGGAACTAGTGGGTTTGAAGGGGCAGGGATTTGAGACATGTGTTTGTTATTCTATGCTAGTTTAAAGTTCCATTTCACAGTAGGGTCCCTCGTGTGAACACTGTTAATAAGTGACCTTAGAATATGTCTTGAATGTGAGATTTGAACTTTTAGATCTATTGATACTGATGTGTGGCAGTATTTTTGACCATTGATTCTAGTGTAGCTGTATGGAGTTTAACAAGCAATCTATTAACTCGCTCCATTTTATGTCGACTAAATGATCCTCATGGCTTTAGTCCAAGAATTTCTTGACTACAGCCCCATTAATCAAATTCGGTACAGTGCCTCCTTCTGGTGGACTGAAGCAACTATACAGAGTGCGGAGTCTCCATACTCTTTCTTTGCATGAAAGAGTATGTAGTATGGAGTATGGAGCAGCTATACTCCATACTGTTTCATGCACAGTCTGGTCAGCGTATATGCATTTTCATCATACCCTCCACCTGTGGCACACTGGTCTGACTCTATGTGTCTGACTGAAGCTGATGTAATGTTGTGTGTTACAGAGTCGTACAAGGGCCACTTTGGCCCGGTGCACTGTGTGCGCTTCAGTCCAGACGGGGAGCTGTATGCCAGCGGCTCAGAGGACGGCACGCTCAGGCTGTGGCAGACCGCTGTGGGCAAGACCTATGGCCTGTGGAAGTGTGTGCTGCCAGGTGAGAGAACTACACACTGCAACTATCTCCTCTGTGTGTGTGTGTGTGCTGAGTGTGCCGTGTGTGTGGCTGTGTGCTGTGTGCTGTGTGCTGTGTCCTGTGTGCATTTGTGTGTGTGCGCGCTGCGTGCTGCGTGCTTTGTGTGCTGTGTGTGTGCGCATTGGCAACACAGGTTCAGTTGTGACTGTTGTAGCGTTTTTTAAACTTTATAAAAACTGTATATAGCCGACACATTTACAAAAATAACTGTGTGGTTACAAAGGAAGTAAAAATAAAAGTAAAAATACTTAACACCCCATTCAGTTCCTCACTTACCATTTACACTTGTTTGAGCTGCTACCGAGTGGTTATTCCATTTCTACTGTTACCCACAACCATAGGCCTCTTCATGCAGTCTATGCTTACAGCCCAGTAGTACATTTATTATGTATATAAACTACCTAACGCAATCCAAAGGGAGCCACTGAATGTAAACAGACATGGATGAACTATCAACAACAGTTAATCACTGGTATTAACTAAAACCACACTGATTGAAATGCCCTGATGCCTGTGGGACTTTCTCCTACATCTGCCCTGTAAAGTTTACAGTGTGAGGTCGACAGAGAGATTAATCGCAATCAAATCAAAATCATTTTGAATGGACGTGATTAGCAAATCACACATTGGCTCTAATGTGTTCCTCCACATACCACCACAAAATATATGTATTGTTCTGAAATGTCCTGTCAGTTCTTAGGCCGATTTCAGTCTGTATTTGTGTTTAATTCTCAAATTGAATCACAATATTGTAGAGAAAGAGAGAGAGAGATACTTATATAATCTAATCTGTAATAATCTTGAATTTCCCTCAGGATCAGTATTTTTCCCAAATTGTTGAGCTCTAGTGTGAGGCGTAAGTGATACATGTGACTAAAGCCTGTTTTCACCTTTTCACACATGCAGCTCCAACTGGGAATTTTCCTGCATTTAGCCAGAACAGCATCATGTGTGAACAAAGCCAGAACTGATTCACCTGCATATTTGATTGGCAGTTTCCCGAGTAAATAACACAGAATATGTGAGGGAGACTTATGTGTATAAAGCCAGAAAATTGCCAGTACTACTGCTATGATACATGGTTACATTCCATTCTCAGGGCTCCCTAAATACTTTGCTTTTCATCCAGAAAATAAATAACTGCTGTGTGGTGTATTTTCCATGGGGATGGGAGTTTAGTTCAGTCAAATATTAAAGTTCAGAGGCATTGCCAGTATTTTTGTGATCTGTTAAATGATAAATAAATGTATTAGTTAACTGTATTTAAGCTTTATGTAGAAAAATACATCTTAAAAAACTAAACATAGGCATTCATGTTCCTAACGCTGATCTTAACCTTAACCTGACTGTGAAAAAATATATAGTCAAAAAGCAACATTTGCGAGCTTAACCACAGCTTGACACAAATTGGCAGCAGATTTTTTTTAGACTTGGCAGCTTAGGTGAATAGGAAAACAGTGATTAAAAATAGATTACCATTGTTGTCAAAGTCCTGCTCTGGACGGAATGATGAACTTTTAGGGAGTCCCCACCCAAGTAGGCAATGTTCTGAGACTGGCACATGTGTGAATGGGGGTCATTGCTAAGTGATCTGGCATTATGTTTCCCTGGTGATTATGATGAATCACCCGTGTGCTTGACGACCTGTGTTTTCTGCAGAGGACCTGGGAGCTGACAACAACGAACAGATTTACACAGCACCGCCGGAGGTCAAAGCCTGAAGACACCCACACACGGACAGGAGGAGGGACAGTAGGGGACGACTCATTGTGTGGCTGCAGCGTGGAGCTATAGAGCTGTGGAGCGCGGTTACCTTCTCTCTGGGATAACAAGACTCAGATTCCCCATCTCAGCCTCCGAACATGCTCCTTTAGCGTTTAGTTTTATTTAAGAGCTGGACCAATTTGTCTTTGACGTCAGAGTTCCAAGAAGACGGCATAACGCTGCATTACTTTCAGTTGTAACTTTGCTTTGAGGATTCGCTGCTCAGATGTGTCCAGTACTAATTGTTTTGACATAAAGCAATGTTTTTTACTTGAGGCTTGTCCCATTGGTTTTGGCTTTTTGTCAGTTTTGTTCCTGGATTAATAAAATGGAGTGATGCATCGTAATTGTGTTCAGTGGTCAATGAACTTTACTCTCTGTTGCACACGTGATTAAAGTATATCATAGGATATAAAGTAGTTCTCTGCATAGTAGCATGATAATATGGGGCATTGGGAAAATAGAGAATTTAATAAGTAAATAACAAACTCATATTGGATGGACTGTGTTCAGTTAGACTACTTTGTGGAGGATTTGCTGTAAAAAGAAGCATGAATGCATTAGGCCTATGCTTCATGTGGTTTGCTTTTTTCTGTCTCAGATGAATCAGACTGACCTCCCAGTAGAGAAAAATCATATTAAAGTACCTCATTTGAGTATTGTGTTCAAATATTGCTGGGATTCAGATGACATCACAACATTCTATAGGCCAATCATATTACAACAGGCAGGGCAGAGGAAATTAATATTGTTAAAACGCCATGTATTAAAATAATAATAATAATATTATTACTATTATTATTAATGTTCTTTGGTCTTGTCACTAATAGAAATGATCAGGTTCAACATTTGTGAATTTACCTTCGAGTTATTGAGTTTTCAGATTCTAGAATGTGATGACGTCATACTCCCAGATGGGGGCAAGAGCCAGTTTTTCCTATTGTTTACATTGTACTTTGCCATGAAATATCGGAAAGGTAAATTCCCAAATATGGACCCTCCTAATTTCTATTATTGACCACAGTATTACAACAAAAATGTCCAGTTGAATAACATTAATTTTAGCTGTACCCATCTATATTACATAATATTGGAATGCTGTGATGTCATCTGAAACCCAGCAATTTCACAGCAAAGTACAGTGTAATCAACAGAAAAATGAAAAAATGGCAAAAGAATAAATTCGATTCAAAACAGTTGGTAGAAAAGGTCAGTTAAATACAATCAATCAATCAACCTGCCCAAGGACTACTGGTGGAAATGAGCACTGATGCTACAATCTGGTACAAACATCTCTCCTGTTAAGGTTCATGTAAACATTGTGCACTGTCCCTGTCTCAAATAAATATACAAATAAAATAAAATGAAAAAAACATGGACGACTAAGGGATTTTACACACTATAGAAAAATGCAGCTCTTGCCTCTGTGAGTATGTCATCAAGTTCCAAAATAGAAAAGCATACTGACATTTGGTTTCAGTATTTACCATCTATGCGGCAGGGGGCGCTGTTTACTCGCACACTTCTGAGCCCGGATAATGCCCCGCCCCCTCCGCTCAGCAGACCGGAGACAGCCCCGGTGCTCCTCTGCGCCTCTGGATTCACTTGCCCTGTACGTGCTGGAATCGTACCGCAGACATGCCCGTGTTTATGGACGACCCGTCGGTGCTGACCAAAGAGCGTCTGAAGAGCGAGCTCCTGGCGCACAACGTGGAACTCCCCGGAGGAAACCCTCCTAGAGACGTGTACGTGCAGCTGTACGTGAAAACCCTGAGCGCGCAGAGCCACGGCACCGACGCCACTCGGGACGGATTCTCCAGCGACGAGGAGCTGCCGCCGCCTCCGGTGACCCGCAGGAGCCGCTCCTCCGGGAGGGTGAGTGCCCCAGCTGCGCGAACTGCTAGAGGGGTGCAAACTTTTTGTAGTTCGTGGTTTACATAGTTTACATAGTTTACATGGTTTACGTAGTTTGACGCACGTTTGACTACACGTGAACAAGTCTCTACCACTTAATTAGAATTTCTATAAGTTGAATATCTTGCGGTAAGTCACTCAAACTTACAAAAATGTCAAACTTCAGCTAGCTAGCCCTGCTGTTTAAGCCAGAATTTTGGACATGGCCCTAATTCCTTTGACTTAAACAGCTCCAGGTAGTGCATGGATGTTTGTCTTCCCGAGGCCAGCCAACGAGCTCAAACGGCTGAACAGGTGTGCCAGGCCGGGCCAGGCCAGGTGTGTGGGCGTGCTGGAGCCTGTCATGCGCACTGCTGTCCCGTAGTGCAGCTTTGTGTTACTCACGTAAACACAACGGAATACCACTCCATTCATAAAGTGCCTCCGCACTAGTGAGTGTAAGTTAAACAAACAAATGAGATGACAAAGATAGTGTGGCTGGGAATGTGCACAGGTGTGTAGCCAAACACTGTACTCAAGAAAGAACAGTGTTGGGGAGTAACGGATTATATGTCCCAGAGTTACGTAATCGGAGTACAAATTATGAGTAACTGTATTCAGTTACAGTTACTGTTTCAATAAGAGGTAATTGGATTACAGTTACTTTGTTGAAATAAATGGATTACACAGCGGTATTTTCCTGTTTTCACATTTGGGGCTATATCACTTTTTTTTCTCGGTAATTCCACTCATTGCCGGATACTAAACCAGGACTAAACCAGGACTAAACCAGGACTAAACCAGGACTAAACCAGGACTAAACCAGGACTAAGTCATGCTGCGTGGACCGTGTCTCCTCCTCTTCTATCAATAATATTTTTAAAGACTCGGCCTTTTTAATTTTCTTTTAGCAAACAAAACATCTTATGTGAAGATTTCCTCGTCTTTGCTTCTCTACAACAAATCAAGTAATCCAAAGTATTCAGATTATGTTACTCACCTTAAGTAATTTAATGGATTACATTACAAACTACATTTTGGGGTATATAATCTGTAATCTGTAGGGGAATACATTTTAAAAGTAACCTTCCCAACACTGAGCAAGAATACTTCAAAATAATAATATGAACTCAAGTAAAAGTACAAAGTAGAGGCCCAAGAAAATACTTATTACTATTTGGGAAAACTACTACACCAAGTAAGAGTAATTTCTGTTTCTGTTCTGTAACATCTGCTTTATAATTTAAAGTGAATGTAATTTGAAGGACAGAGCATAAACATTGCAGACAGACTGATGTTTTTAAAGGACAGAATAAAAAATGAGATAAATTGAATCATATCTAAAGGAACGCCGCAAAAAGCACCAATGTTCAAATCAAGCATAAAGCTTTTATCACTTGTAGACTTAGTGTGAAGAGGAACCACAACTTTCACTCAAGTAAGAGTATTGTTACTTCAATAAAAGTACAAGTACAATGTCTTTAAAAGGTTACTCAAGTAAACGTAGGCTAACTGAGTACTACCCACCTCTGTATAGCTTTTATTCCCAGTGTTTATGGGAGCTTGGATCTTAACATGTTTCAGAACATTGTGGTTTTCCCTGGTAAAACTATGACACAGACAGAATCTCTGAGTTGACACATGAGTGTGACTCGGGGGATGTAGATGGACGAGTCTCCTCTCATACCGGGCCCCAGTCCTCGGCACATTCCATACATTTTCTCTGTGATTCGGTCCCTGTGTTTGATCCCTGCGGCTGGCTGCTCGTGCCAGGACTCTGTCTCCTGTGCGTGCCCCACATATTTGTGCTTCTAATGAGCATGTGTACATGACATACATGACATACTGTACATTCAGACACACAGGTGCAGTTTGGAGGAGCAGAGAGTTGACGGTTCAAATCCAGCTCTTCTCGTCTGAATGTGCTGGTGTGACTGTGATTATGGTGGTCAGGAGGGACTAAAGGCGTGTGTGTGCGTGCATGTGTGTGTGACTGTGAGTGTGTGAGTGTGTGAGACGGAGGAATGAAGTGCAGTGGATTTTGCACGCCTTATTAGATTGTAAATGAGATTGTAGCCTTATGTTTTATGTTACGACTAACATTCCTACGGGCATAAAATAAGGGCGGAACAGAATACTATGAGTCGACAAACAAGATTTTGACATAATTTATAATAAAAAAAACACTGTTGCCAAATAAATATAAAGAAATATTCTTCAGCTAAGATAGTCTTGACCAAGACTAAGTCCAGATCAGGAGATGGGTCCCTGAGCACTGCTCTGCGGTGCTCACTGAGAAGATGACAGAGGCACTGAAGGACGGGTCAAATGCAGAGGACAAATTTCCCTATGGCGACAATACAGTGTGCACTACCAGTCAAAAGTTTTAGAACACCTCACTTTTTACTTTTTTTTTTTTTTTTTTTTTTTTTTTTTTTTACTGTTGACCAAAACATATTCTAAACTTTTTGATTGATGTGTGTCCCCCTTTGGCAGATAGAACAGCTGAACACACTCGTGGCTCGTTCTTTATGCAGCAGAAATCAAATATTCTTCCAGAAAGTTCTTCCCAAGTCTGTTGCAGAATTTCTTATAAATGTGTGGCACTTGTAGGTTGCTTCATTTTTCTGTGCAGTTCATCCCAAACCAGCTCGGTGGGATTTAAGTCTGGACACTGTGCTGGACACTCCAGGTTTTCAAGTTTTACTGTCTTGTTTTTTTTCCTGAGGTTGTTTTGGCGGAGCTTGGACTTCTGTTTAATTATTTTATCTTTTTTTTTTTACTTCTGTCTGTTCAGTTCTTACATTTGTACCATTTCAAGCTCTTCATTGGACTTAAATGACTTGAATTGCAATAAATACCTGGAAAATTAAGGTGTTCTAAAACTTTTGACAGGTAGTGTACCTTACCTAACCTTACACGAGGGTTGTGGAGCACATTTGTTTGCTGTTTTGCTGTTTGTCAGCTTGAACATGCACATGAACAACTTTTTTGATGAGATGAGCCTTTATTGTCGCTTTTATTCAGAAATTCTTGTTGGACAAGTAATGGAAACAAAAACACATCAACAAAGGACAACAGACAGTGCAGTCACACCACATTCACACAAAGAGCTACATCAGTGTGCGGTGACAGATACATGAAGAGAAAACTGAGCATTGACGTCTTAAATCGTGCTTAACTTTATCTTCACACTACTGTTTTAAATGCTGTTTGGGTGCACAGAAGTCTGAGGCGGCTCGGCTGGACGTCACTCTGCTGACAGATGAAGCTCTGAGGGACCAGCTCCTCGTGCATGGGGTCCACGCAGGGCCCATCGTGGGTGAGCACCCACCTGCACCCACCTGCACACACCTGCACACACCTGTACACACCTGCACACACCTGCACACACTGTACCTGCACACACTGCACACACCTGTACACATCTGCACCCACCTCCACCCACCTCCACACCTGCACCTACACTTGTACCCACCTCCTCCACACCTGCACCCACATCTGCACCCACCTCCACAACTGCACCCACACCTGCACCCACGTCCACACCTGCACCCACCTCCACACCTGCACCCACCTGCACCCACCTCCACACCTGCACCCACCTCCACAACTGCACCCACACCTGCACCCACACCTGCACCCACTTCCTCCACACCTGCACCCACTTCCTCCACACCTGCACCTAAACTCAAAGCTTCTCAGATCCACCAATGCCATTTGAGTGTTTGCTAATATCTTTATGATATCAGTGCAGAAAAGGAAGACATCTTATTCATTTAAACATAAAGAACATGACGCAGTATAAATTTTCTCTTTGAACAGCATGAGCTAACACACAATCTGTTTTCTGCAGCCTCTACCCGGAAGCTGTATGAGAAGAAACTCCAGAAGCTCCAGGACAAAGGAGCCGTCCTCTCTGAGCCCCAGAAGAACCACAGCAGCAGTCAAGAGGCCGAGCTCTACAGCGACCAGGAGGAGGGTGAGAGCTTTTGACAACCTCTGACCGCAGCTATGACCCCGCTCCCTGATTGATCTGTAGTGTGTCCTCTGCCAGAGCCCACCGCTGACACTGGCCCCAGACCGGCCCCGGAGCCAGAGCCGGTGCCCGAACAGAAGGATGGTGTGAGGAGCCGCAGAAACAACATTTCACAGAGACTCAGCAGCAGCCAGCATAGCACGGTAAACACCATCCCACATTACGGTACTGACTGACTGTCCAACTGTGTGACTGCACTCACTCCAACTGTCCGACTGTAGTGACACTGTAAATCTGTAGTAATATGAGACTGTAGTAACTCCATAAAACTAGTAACTGTAAAACTGTAGTAATGTCTGATGGTAGCAGCCCTATCCAACTGTAGTAACTCTAGTAACACTATCTGACTGCACGGGGTGACTTTAGTCGTACAAGGTGACTGCGCAGGGTGGTTGCAGTCGACCACTCTGTCTGGGAACTCTTGTTCAGCTGTATTGTTTTCTTCTAAACTTGACAATCTCAAAACAAGTACAAGCAGATCCATTAATGTTAAACACTGGTATGTACATGTTTGTGGGCTGTTCTTTGGAGGTATATCTGAGTGTGTGCTGTACAGAGATCTATGGAGCGGACAGCAGAGGGCGCTGAGCTCACACGCAGGTCCAAGAGGTTGGCCCACAGAATGGTGAATGCAGCCCCCATGGCTGTCTTTGTCTGCTCCACTATCTGCTCCACTATCTGCTCCACTGTCTGCTCCACTGTCTGCTCCACTATCTGCTCCACTGGCGTCTTCTCCCATCCACTGGCATCTTCTCCCATCGACTGGCGTCCCCTCCCATCCACTGGTGTCCCCACCCATCCACTGGTGTCTCCACCTGACCCCTCCCATCCACTGGTGTCTTCCTCTGTCCACTGATGACCTCTCTTATCTCCTATGTCAGTCAAGATGCCTGATCCGTTCTGAGCAGATGTTGTTTCGTCAGGTTCCTGAGGATCTCAGGCCCCTCTCGACAGAAAAGGAGGCAGAAAAAACATCTTACAGCCCTGTCAGGGGCCCCCTGCCTCCCTCCTCCAGATGTGCTGCATCTCCTGTGGCCTCTGTTCTCTCCTCCAGACCTGCTCCAGCCCATGGCCATGTGGACCCTGGCTCTGGTACCAGGCATGGTCTGGCCCCAAGCTCTGTGACTATTGACTCTCCATCCAGACCTGGTCACCCACCTGTTGGTACTTTATCTTCAGTAAGACCTACCCCAGCTCTGGACCCTGTGGTCCCTGTGTCTTCTTCTAGATCTGCTCAGTTAGCTTTGGCCCCTGGCTCCTGTTCCGGACCGGCTCCAGCACGTGGCCTTGTGGCTCGTGGTTCTTCTACCAGACCTCCTAAGGCTGTGGCTCCTGGGAGCCCCTGGCCCTTCTCTCCACAGGTGGGGCAGTGTGTGGTGGAATCGCTCATGTGCAGTAGAGTGTGAAAGAAGGGTGCATGTCCCAGAGCAATCGTCTACTGACAGTCAAACACATAAGTGTCTGCTCCTTAAAACTCTCCATCCAGCAGTTAAAACTCTAGTCACGTGAAATGATCAGGCCTTTATAAAGATGAAACACACACACACACAAGCTCAGCTCTGCTGATTTAACTTTGTTTTTTTGTTGTTGTTTTTTTAAATCATACCCATTTTATTTTGCATAAACCTATAACCAAGCTGTTTCCAGGGTTTTGAAATAGTGTGTAGTGCACATGGACAGACTAAGGCGTCTGTGCTGTATCCTTTTATGTATGTGTGCTCCACAGGTCCCTCTGGACCCACTTACCTCCATCTTCAGGTGTAACATCTCCCCCATATTGAAGCCATCACAGACCAAGCCGGACCATGTGCTGTCAGCAGCGGTATTCTGCCCATGTCTTCATCTGCCAGGAGCACTGAGGGACATGGGACAGCACTGTCCCAGGAGCACTGAGGGACATGGGACAGCACTGTCCAAGGAGCACTGAGGGACATGGGACAGCACTGTCCCAGGAGCACTGAGGGACATGGGACAGCACTGTCCCAGGAGCACTGAGGGACATGGGACAGCACTGTCCCAGGAGCACTGAGGGACATGGGACAGCACTGTCGTAGGGGCACTGAGGACGACACAGTGGTCATCACTATGCAGGAGTACTGAGGGACATCGCACACAGTCCCAGGAGCACTGAGGTGGAAAGCTTTTCATCAGTACTTTATCCATAACTATGTTTGTATTATCTGCAGACGGAGAAGGTGCAGAAAGTAGAGCAGGTGGAGAAGATCCAAACAGATCCACCACCAGAGGAGGACCCTGCAGTGCCAGAGCTCAGTTTCACAGGACTAACGTGAGTGCACTCCTGAACTTCTGCTGCAATTTCCAGTAGTTTCATCTCATTTTGGTCAAGTCCAGTAATGTTATTGTTGGCCTTATGAAGATCTGCATCTTCACATCATACACCTTACCTCATGGAGGTAATTCTGGAGGTTCTGAGCTCTCACATAAGGCCTGAAAATAAGACACACTTGGATGTGTGTCTGTCTGCAGGTTAAGGCTCTGCAGCTCGGGTTCACGTTGTGAATGGAGTAGTTGTTTTTTTTTTTTAAACTTTATAAGTGCAGGATACGTACAGCTCCTTTTAAAATCATCTGTCGCATAACTTTGAAAGCAGCTCTCTGTGTCAGTCATGTTGAAAACAGAAAACACCCGATTTAAAAGAAATATGTAAATGCAGCCCATCTCTAACACTTTTCATTACTTTTTAGAGCCTCGTGTCGCCGGCCAATCAAAGGAGCCGCTGGTCGTCCTGTGATACTCTCCAATCGCAGCCAATCAGCACACACAGAGATCAAAGTCAGCAACTCCACCTCTTCCATTACCAACACTGCCAACCCTGCCCTTTCCAGCGCCCACTCTGCCCCTTCCTATACCAGCCCTGCCTCCTCCAGAGCCACACCAACCCTCCCCGACGCTAGCGCCCCCTCTGCCCGTCAGGCCAAGGCGCAGGGGGGCATATCATGGTGGAAGAAGCTCCTCCTCTGGGCCGTGCTGGCTGGGTTCCTGTTCCTCGTGTACCAGGCCATGGAGACCAACAGCGCCGCCCCGTTCGAGGAGGCCAAGGAGATGTGAAGATGGTTACTTTTTTTTTGTAAAATAGTTCTCCTCAACTGTGACCTCTGACTGTGCTCACTGTAAAAAAGTCTACAGGAGTCCCATTAGGTTCCTTTTAGGCCTTCTGTACATAAGACTCTAAAGTGTAATCTTACCAGATCTCTATTAATTTGACAGGTTCGGCTGCGCTCTTCCTCTGAAGTGTCACGTGAAAACCATCTCATGGACTGGGACAGTATTAAGGTCATAGGCACAGAGAACAACAGACACCATTGTTGGATCATGGGGAGCCATCCAGATCTGGAAATGTGCCCACCAGACTGTAAATCGTGATGAGGGTCGTACCAACTCTCTCACACCTGAGATATAATTCTTATTTATTTGTTATATAAATATTTATAAGGATAAAAAGACATCGGGTCGCGGGGGCAGTAGTCCCTGCTTAGACTGCTGCCCTCGTGACCCGGCCCCGGATAAGCGGAAGAAAATGGATGGATGGATAAAAAAACATCAACAGTATGACATCATCAAACATACAAAAAATGAATGAAAAAGGCGTAGAAAGAAGAGCAATCTTATGATGACTAATTCTAAAGACGTCTGCTGTCGTTCTACTGCCCCAAGTAGGAAAACTGCGCCAAAAAAAGTTTAAATGAGCTGATCAGACACATTACAGCACCATCATGTGACACTTCTGAGGAAGGCAGCAGAGAGCTCCAACTGTCATGGTATGAAACTTAAGGTCAGTACATAAGAACCTTAATATCATCTAGAGGAGATAAAATAAAAATAATTTTATCTCCTGTAGACTCAAGTAAAATTGCAAATCCTGTGTCTGTCTTTGAAGTTAAATGTTTCCTTACCTGCCAGAAAATGTAGCTTTTAAATAAGAGAAACCTAAATGCAGTCTTAAAAATCAAAGCAGTCTGATTTCATTCTCCTGTATCTTGACTTTTTACAGTGTCCCAAAGCTTTCCTGTGTGCTTTGCAGTGAAAACAAACCTTTTTTCATGTTTTATATTTTGAGTTTGTTGAATACTTGTGTACTTTTCAATGTGCCTTACAGTTTCTAATAATAAAGTTTAATTTCTAATAATGCATTTTTGTCTTTTTGCTGAAGGGGAATCGGGCAAGATGGACTACACTGAACCCCTCGTTCTTAGAAACCACTCCCTTATGCAGAGGTGAAATCACAAATGTTCCACACTGGCTTAAAAGGATCATTTTATTGGCAAGTCAGGGCGATGTAGCAATGGAAAGGATTACACAACCTTTAACTAATGAGCAGCCACTTACCTGCATGAGACTGCCCCCTACTGTTAGAGAAAGATAGTTTGAGTGCCAGAGTTGGGTAGAGTATCCAGAAACTACTCAAGCAAGAAAGTCAAAATGCTACTCAAGTATAAGTACAAAGTAGTAGTCCAACAAATGACTTGAGTCAGAGTAAAAAGGTAAAAACTACTACTCAAGTAACTTAAGCATCTGATTTAAAATTTGAAGTTAATGTCATTTGAAGGACAAAATGTCAAAATAAGAGAAATCATAGCTGAAGGAGCAGTGCAAGAAACACAAAAGATCAAATCATTTCATATTGTCAACATTAAGCTGTCACTTGTCTTACAGTGGGAAGAGGAACCCAGACATTCATTTCAATATAAAAGTAAATATTACTCAATTAGGGTACAATATCTTTTAAAAGTTTACTCAAGTAAATGTAACTGAGTGCTACCCTCTGATGAGTGACAACTAAAATGGTAAATTGTATGCTTAAATTAAAAACAAGCAGAACGTGACATTTGATGTAAGAATGTTTAATATTTAATACAGAAAGGGAGCCACCCAGGTCTACTGACACAGACAAATTATTGCTCTCAAAAAAGAGTTCAGTTAACCTCCCCACTTTAATTTTTTGCACCATGAATGAATGAATCAAACTTGATTTTGAGTTTGTTTTGTGTAAAATCCTTTAGTCATCCAAGTAGAATCCGCAGCAAAAGAAGAAATTCAATGTGACAAAAGTTTATTTAGGTTGATTACATTTCTCAGCTCATCCAAGCTGCTTCTTCAGTTCAGGTCAGTTGCAGGTGGACACTGCCTTATGTCTCCCTGCAGGAGGAGCTCACTACACTGAAACTACTCTGAAACTAACACACCTACTTGTTTACACTTTGTTAGCTGGGCCTGTTGAACTTGCACTGAGAGTGGGGTCATACATCTCCATCTAAAAGCCACAGGCCACTCCTTTGAGAACACTGAGGTACAGATTTTAGCCAGAGAAAAGAATTGGTTTGAGGAGTTAAAAAAGCAATTTTTGTTAAGAATGAGAATCCTTCCTTGAACAGAAATGGAGGCCTCAGACACCATCATCTCCTATTTACAACTCCACCCTCAAACCTAATTCAAAACAAACAAGAGAACAAGGTGTGGAAGCTCCATTATGGACATGAATGATTCTGCTAATACGACCCCACACCCTGTACAGGTCAATAGGCTGAACTAACAGAAACTGTAAACAAGTAGGGTATTTGTTTCAGAGTAGTTTCAGTGTAGTTGGCTCCTTCTTCAGCAGATATAAGGCAGTGTCCACCAGCGTCTGATCACACCTGAAGAAGCAGCTTGGAACATATTCAACCAAATAAACGTTTGTCCAGTTGACAAATTGAATTTCTCCTTTTGCCTTTGAGTTTGATTGCAAATTTAACAAAAGTCCTGGGCCAAATCCCATTTTTCAAAGAGCACGTCACTCCTCGTTCCTGCATTAAAACCACAGAGAGGGTCCCGCAGCAAAGGAACCGAGGAGACAGGCGAGGAGGAGGCACGCTCTGAGAAATGCGATGCGCCCTGAACCTTAAACACGCCCACTCCTCTTTACGCCGCCTCCCATTGGACACAACACCCCAGCGCTTTTCTGATTGGACCGAACACCGGAAAACACGGCACTAGTGACGTAAGCAAAGGATATTTGATGCACGGCGAGGTCATCTGCCTCTCTGCACACCGGCTGCTCCCGAGCAAGGCGCCATCTTGAGACAGGCATAAAGTAAGTGTATTTAAATGAGCAAATACGAAGATTCACGCGTGTGTGGACGGGTAGATGTTCATAACGCGTTTTGGGCATTGTGTTGTTTTTGTTTACGAGTCCATTTTGTCGCGCGTTGTGCTCAGAGATTACGTTCCACCTTGAAGCGGTCAAATTAGCCCGTTAGCATTAGCTCCACTGAGGTGCCCTGGATGCGCTCCATCCTCCGGCCGCGCTGCCTTTACGCGCACATGGATTTCTGCACATCAAGCGCACATGGATCTTCTGTGTCGTTTGCTGCCGCCGTCGGGCTTGCATGGCTTTGTCCCGCACGTCTGTAGCTGCGGACACACGGCTAAAGCGCACGGCTAACCTGTTGCTCTGTTGCAGCTCCACAGACCTGCGCCATGTACCCGAGCGCCCTGACGCAGCTGGCTCGGGCCAACCCTTTCAGCGCCCCCCTCTTCTCCCTGCAGAAAGTGGATGAGCCCCAACAGAGCCTCCAGACACAGAGGCCACGGAGACTAGCAGCAGCCGCCGCCTCAGACGGTAAGCCGGCCGCGGACAGTCCGGGAGCGCACGAGGAGCAGTGTTAACATTAGCCACAGCCGCACAGGCCGGTGCTTGACTGTGGTTACATGGTTAAATCCTAACTTCATTATGAGTTATAGCTGTGCACTATTTAAACCCGGCAGTGTCCATTTTCCACCGTAACCTTTGCAGCGGTGCCGTTACGCAGGGCCCGGCGCGCCCGCGGCCGTGGAGGACACAGAAGGGCAAAGCGGTTTTTTTAAGCTTTCATTCGCTTTTTAATGAGCCACTACCGCTTCCTGTGTGTTAGACTAAACCTTTTTCCTCTTAGGACAGCAGAAACTAGTGTTGGGTCCATGACTTTGTGACCCTGCTGCTCATGACTTCCCCAAGAACATTTTGTCCTTGTGTGAAACTCTATATTGGTTTAAATGGCCACATGTTCTTGACTTTCTATAAAGGCAACACAACTTCAAGTGATCTTTATTTTACATTGTACAAACCTGAACACTGTTATCTATTGACAGAGGAGACTGGTGCATTGGTGCTGCCACCTACTTTTATTTCCTGGTCTAAAACCAGCATTTATTCACTTTGCTTATTGAACTGTCATAAACACGTAAAGTGTCTAGTGTTTTAAAATGAAGAGCCCATAGATTAGTGTATACACCAAAAGATGTACAGAAATATAAAAAAATATATATTTATTTAAATACACTTAGGCACTTAATTATACACTTTAAAGGTCCTATATTGCACAGAAATGACTGAGCCTTTAGCCATGTTAAAATATTACCTCCTCAAAAACATGACCGAGAGTTGTTTTGTTTAATTCACATATATTTGATTTAATGCATCTTCAAAGCTCCAAATGCTCTGTTCCACCTTGTGATGTCTTGTGAAGGCTAACTGCTGTTTTCAACTTCAATTGAACTGATTCACCCTTTAATACTCTTAAAACACATTTATTTACTTTTATTTTTAATAATTTACTTTTACCTTTTTAGTTGTGATTGTCACAGAAATTCTCCATCTTTACTAGAATCATAGATCACCAGCAACTATTGAGGTTTAAAAATACAGTGGAGCGTTCTGTTTTTCTTCATGACATCTTGGTGGTACAAGAGTGTCTTCAGTTTGAGAAAAGAACCCAGCCTAAATATGCAGTATGTGTGTTGAACATGTGTGAATGAAACAAAACACAACTCCAGGTCTGTTTGATGAGGAAACATTAGAACATGGATCAAGAGTGGAGCAGTATGGGCCTTTTAACCTTTAGTTCTGAGGTAGCACACATGAGGGTTGCATGTGTTGAGTTGACCCTGCAGTGTAAACAGCAGCTGAAGCGTCCCTGTGGCTGTCCCTGTGTCTTCAGAGGGGGACAGCTGTGAGTTCGGCTCGCAGAAGTACTTCATCCTGTGTGGCTTTGGGGGCATCCTGAGCTGTGGCACCACGCATACGGCCGTGGTCCCTCTGGATCTGGTCAAATGCAGAATGCAGGTCTGTGCCCGAGTCCGTGCCCGGTTTGCCTGTGCTCGCCCGTGTTGTGCCCGACATGCCTCCCATCACCCATAACTGGTCTTTGGTTTATCAATATGCATGATCATTAAAGTTGTGAACTTACAAATTCATTTTTATTCATGACATGGTCCTGATATAACAGGCCTTTGACTGGAAAGACTGATTGTGATTTAGGCTGTTTAAATCCACACTTTGTGTCTGACAATTGAACAGGTTGTTCTGCACATAAAGGGCCTGATCCCACAGAGGACACTGCTGCTGGTTCAATCACACACGTCCATCAGCTCTGTCCTCTTCATCAATCATGGTGGTGTAATGATCTGTTCCAATGAAGGTGAAGGTCCACTGTCTCCAGGAGTGGTCATGAGCGCCCCCCGCTGTCTGTGCGAGTCCTGGGGACAGTGGCTCTAATGATTGTGTCTGTGTTGCATGTGTCCTGCATGTTGCATGTTTTCTCTGTCCCAGACGTGAGCTGTGAGTTTGGCTCCTCAAAGTACTATGCCCTGTGTGGCTTCGGGGGCATCCTGAGCTGTGGCATCACCCACACAGCAGTGGTCCCTCTGGATCTGGTCAAGTGCCGCCTGCAGGTTTGTACAGAGCTGCCCACAGCCCACCTGTACTCTGTATTGACTTTAGAATATTACCGTTGGCTTTAGTAAGAAGGTGAGGCCTTATAACTGTACACTGATCTAACTGAAGTGTCCATCCGCATGCTGCTAATTCAGTTGAGTAAGATAGTGCTGTCCCTACATCTACCTGTGTCAGTGACGAGCCTAGCACCTGCCGCTGTGGTCTGAACCTGTGTCTCTGCCAGGTGAACCCAGACAAATACAAGAGCATTGGGAATGGCTTTGCAGTGACTGTGAGAGAAGATGGCTTCAGAGGCCTGGCCAAGGGCTGGGCTCCCACCTTCATCGGCTACTCCATGCAAGGCCTGTGCAAGTTCGGCTTCTACGAAGTGTTCAAAATCTTCTACGCTGACTTACTGGGCGAGGTGAGTGCACACGTCTCACACCACACCCCAGCAGACACGCTCCTTAGATCCACCTCTGGAGGCTGTGGGCCTGGCCCACTCCTCAGCAGCCTGTAGCTGTACTGTCGGAGGTGCTTGAGTCATTGGCGTGTCAGAGCAGTCCACCTGTCCCCCAGCCCAGGGCCCCACTGGCCCCTGTCCCAGAGGCAGGACACACCAGTGGGGCCAGTCTGGGAGACGGACACTCTATTTGTGATGTAAAGATGATTATGTAATTGTTGTAAAGGGGGCGCCTCAAAGCTGCAGCAGCATTTCCACTGCACTCTCCTTTGTCTCAAAGGTCTGAGTGTAATTTAACTTTTGTGTGTGGACATGACAGCTGCCACCTGACCCACAGTCACACTGGAGTCTTAAAGTGGACTGAATTCCACCCACAGTCGCATTTCAAAGGCTGCTCTGCTGGGCAGTACCTGGTCAACAAAAGGGGAGGGTGAGGGTGGAGGAGGGGTGGGATCTGGACATATGATGAACAGTGTCTGACGGGTATCTATAACTCTGAGTTAGTCAGAGCAGTCCTACAGGGGCATAGACTGTATACAGAAGTGGAGTAAGCGAGTGTGACATCACCCAGAGCGTTCGTCTTCACTCAAATGAAGCTCATGATGCTCACGGTTAAAGGAGCCAACGTGGAGCCAGGCTCTGTTTATGAATAGGATTTTTTTAAAGGGACAAAATGGCAAAATAAAAACCCCAGGATCATGTAGAGCAGGTTAATACTAACATTTTAAGACGGCACACACTCAGAGCCACATATTTGTCTCGTTTGCACTAAAATTGTCAAGAACAGAGTGAGGATAGTATTCAAACACCATGTCCACAGTTCAGTTGATTTTAGTGTTTAGTTTCACTTTAATGGCAGTGTCTTCCTTTGGTAGAAGGACCTTTGGGTTGGTGACACTTGAGCAAAGGGCTCAGTTGGGAGGGTCACGTACATGTGTGGAGTTGTTGATGTGAAGTGCTTGTTCTCTGACTTGTTTGTGCTCATGTTTCAGGAGAACGCGTACCTGTGGAGGACCTCTCTATACCTTGCTGCATCAGCCAGTGCAGAGTTCTTTGCAGATATCGCTCTGGCTCCAATGGAGGCTGCCAAAGTGCGTATCCAGACCCAGCCCGGCTACGCCAACACCCTGAGAGAGGCAGCACCCAAGATGTATGCCGAGGAGGGCCTGTGGGCGTAAGTGTTGCTTTGTCTTTGAGACACGCTCCTTAGATCCACCTCTGGAGGTTGTGGGCCTGGCCCATTCCTCAGCAGCCTGTAGCTGTACTGTCGGAGGTGCTTGAGTCATTGGCGTGTCAGAGCAGTCCACCTGTCCCCCAGCCCAGGGCCCCACTGGCCCCTGTCCCAGAGGCAGGACACACCAGTGGGGCCAGTCTGGGAGATGGACATAAGCTTAACGTTAATGACTACAGCAGACCATTGTAAGTGCTAAACAGTGTTGTCTCCTCAGTTTCTACAAAGGAGTGGTCCCCCTGTGGATGAGACAGATTCCTTACACCATGATGAAGTTCGCATGCTTTGAGCGCACTGTGGAATTGCTTTACAAGTATGTGGTGCCCAAACCCCGCAGTGAGTGCTCCAAGCCCGAGCAGCTGGTGGTCACCTTCGTCGCTGGATACATCGGTACGTGTCCTCCCCCACCTTTAGGGTCACTGAGGTGAAGCAGAAATATGAAAACTCCTGTTTTCAGTAACTTTCCATGTCACACTTCACAAATGAACTCGCACTGTAGTTGGTACTGCAGTTAAATAGGCCTGTATTTGGTTTTACACTGTTCTTTAGTTAACATGTCAGTAAAATGTAAAAATAAGGAAAGCAGAATCCATTCCACGTCCTGATCTTTCCTCTCTCTGTGTTACAGCTGGAGTGTTCTGCGCTATCGTGTCCCACCCAGCCGACTCTGTGGTGTCTGTGCTGAACAAGGAGAAGGGCAGCACGGCGGCTCAGGTGCTCAAGAGGCTGGGCCCCAAAGGTCAGTGTCACCCTGACTCTTCTATATGTGCCTAGTGTTTGTTTAGCATGAAGGGCACAAGCTGGGCAATGAACACTTCTTGAAGACACTACACAAAGTTTTACTTTTACTTTACCTGTGACAACCTATTGACATGTAATTTAAGAGGTAAATATGATGTAAAAGTGGATTATATTCTTGTCAAGATAAATTTTCTTCACATGATGTATTGCTGCTAAAAAAGAAATGATTTCATGTCAGATAAGATATTCACATAACTATTTTTTTTTTCTCCCCCCCCCCCCATTTTTTATAATGTAAGAAATAAGCTGCCAGAGGCTCTCAGACACTTGATTCTCTTTCATGGTGCATTTTCAAGAGTGATGTCAAGTAGTTGCATATCCCACACAGATGTTTCTGTGTCATGGTGCAATGTCACGGTAGCAGAAAGGACTAAGAGGACGGGGTTCATTGTAATTGACAGCATGGTCTCTTGCATATAATTTGGTACATGGTTAGAGATTAGTTTGGGTAGTCAAGAGATATCGCTAATCTTGCCAGTAAAAGCCTGTGGTTAAGAAGAAGGAAACATTTTTTTGCTCTAAATTCTAAAAATAACACATGCTTTTTTTTTTACAAGGGATTTCAGAGCAATAGGTAAAGTATGAATTTGAATAAATGCCATACTGCGGAACATTCTGGCAGAGCATTCACCACTCCAGTTGTAGTCTCATTTCGTCTCACTTCCTCATGATCTGATGCCCCCATGAATCCATAAGTGTGACCTGTGTCTGTCTGTGTGCAGGTGTGTGGAAGGGTCTGGTGGCTCGTATCATCATGATCGGTACCCTCACGGCGCTGCAGTGGTTCATCTACGACTCGGTGAAGGTGTACTTCCGCCTGCCCCGCCCCCCTCCTCCCGAGATGCCAGAGTCGCTCAAGAAGAAGCTGGGCCTGACTGAGTAAATCCCCATCCTACCTCCCCTCACGGAGCCCATATTTATGTCCCTGTGTATATTTGACACGAGCAGAGGTGATGGGACTGCCTCGATTCCTGTACAACACGTCTGGTTTTATGATTCCTGTTGATAGAATGTGACTATTCTAATAAAGAGTTCCCCACATCTGTGTGCGTCTTACAAGTGTGCACATACACTGCACATACACGAGTGATCTAATGAAAGCCACACTACACCACACCAACATCACTGTTCTCTTAGCGTTGTGGAACGATCCTTCTGCATCAGGGCTTATGTTTAACAGTAAATGAGTCACTTCGGAGCATTCACTTCCTGCATGACCAAATGCACCAAAGCATATTACTTCAGTGACTCATATGAGACTTGTTCAGAGATGTCCAAACTTAAAACCCAGGGCCGTATATGAAACCTTTGTGGTGGAGGGCTGCAGACTGGTGATCAATACTGCTTCTGTCAGAGATGCATTTACATAGATTTGGCACAGCCTCAGTGGAACATTCATTTTAAACTGGTATCACAGTGCAGTGTGATATTAGATTTTATAGTTGCCACATCAAGTACTGCATTGTGATCATTTAGGCCAATTCAGCAGGGCTGAGGGCTGCTTTTGGCCCCTGGACCATAGTTTATTTGAGAACTGTTGAACAAATAGATGCTCTCTTGGTATCCCTTTGACTCATGAATTAGCTGAATTCACCAGTAGATGGCAGCACAGTCCACTCACTATAAAGTTTGGAGGCAATTGAGATTAAAGGAACTGAAGCACCTGAACTCTTGCTGTGTTCACAAAAAGATTCCACAATCACATGTGAGCCTGTGTCTCCAGAGTCTTCACCTGCAGACAGACACGTCCAAGTGTGTCTCATTCTCAGTTTATGAACAGGTCTCCTGTGAAGCTCAGAACCTCCAGAATTCCGTCCCTGAGCAGCAGAGGCTGCAGTAGCACTGACTCATGACTGGTGCAGGTGCTGGGGTTTAGGGAGAGACCATTCAGATCAGAGAGACATATTTTAGGTTTAAACAAACTGTCGTGAGTGCGTTCTGTTTTGTGATTGAAATGAAATAAGTAAAAGCCAGTGCTGTGGATTCACCTGTAGATGGCAGCACAGTCCACTATGAAGTTTGGAAGCAACTGAGATTAAAGGAACTGCGCAGCCTGAACTCTTACTGTGTTCAAAAAACATCAGTTCCATGTATGAGTCAGATCTGTGGAGCACACAGAATCCACAGTGTTTTCAAGTGTTAAAGACATGTCATTGAACACAGAAAGAGAGATACGTTAATGTCACACTATGGAACATTCCATTCAAAGCAATAAAATCTCCCTGGAGACAAGCAGAGACTGGACCTCCATAAGAAATGTCACATAGTGTAGCTTTAAATGAAGCTTCATCCCCTAAACACAGACCAAGACCAAGACTACACACACTCTACACACACTCTACACACACTCTACACACACTACACACACTCTGCACACACTACACACACTATACACACACTATATACACACTCTACACACACTTTACACACACACTACACACACTATACACACACACTACACACACTCTACACACACTCTACATACACTCTACACACTATACACACACCATACACACACTCTACACACACTCTACACACACTATATACACACTCTACACACACTTTACACACACATATCACTGATCCAACTTTGAAATTGTTTAAGTTTATGTTTTTAAATTTAAGCCTTTATATCCTAGTTTTAATACTTGCTGTAAAAGTTTTATGTACAATTACAATGCAAATGCTGCTGGTGTGTATTTAGGTCAGTAGGAAGTGGATCAGTATTAAATCTGAAGCATATTTAGGCTCCTAACGACACAATAAACAGATCCGCGGCAGATCCGCGGCAGATAACCCGGTTCTGAAAGCGGATCCAAAACGGGTCCTGGGCGGATCCGCGAGATACGCAGCGGATCTGCCGCGCCTCCGCCGCGCCTCCGCCGCGGATCCGGGCTTATTTTGACGGATCTGCGGCGGAGGCGCGGCTGATCCGCTGCGTATCCGCGCGGCGGATCCGTTGCTGATCCGCGGCAATGTGCAAGTGAACTCCGATGCGGATCCGCCGCGTATCTGCCGCGGATATTTTTTGCTATGTGGGACACTACATACACTCTACACACGATACACACACCATACACACACCATACACACTCTACACACACTATACACACACTATACACACACTCTACACACACTCTACACACACTATACACACACTCTACACACACTCTACACACACACTACACACACTCTACACACACTCTACACACACACTACACACACTCTACACACACTCTACACACACTCTACACACACTCTACACTCTACACACACTCTACACACACTCTACACACACTCTACACACACACTACACACACTCTACACACGATACACACACCATACACACACCATACACACTCTACACACACTATACACACACTATACACACACTCTACACACACTCTACACACACTATATACACACTCTACACACACTTTACACACACACTACACACACTATACACACACTCTACACACACACTACACACACTCTACACACACTATATACACACTTTACACACACTCTACACACACTCTACATACACTCTACACACGATACACACACCATACACACACTCTACACACACTATACACACACTCTACACACACTCTACACACTCTCTACATACACATTATACACACACTGTACACACACTATGCCCACACCATACACACACTCTACACACATTTGACACACACTATCACACATCTCGTGAGCTTTCACCTGCAGATAGAGACACATGCAAGTTTGTCTTATTCTCAGTTTATGGACATGCCTCATGTGAAGCTCAGAACCTCCAGAATTCCCTCCCTGAGCTGCAGAGGCTGCACTAGCACTGACTCATGACTGGTGCAGGTGCTGGGGTTTAGGGAGTGAACGTCAGATCAGAGAGACACATTTTAGGTTTAAACACACTGGATTTCACCATTGAAACTGGAAACCCACATGAGAGAGTCATGTGAGCGCGTTCTGTTTTGTGAAGGTTGTTTTCAGTAAAACTGTTTGAATTGAACATGTTTACCTTGTATCACAATGAAGTCAAGTTTATGAAATTTAAAATAAAATCTTATGTACATTTCCATTAAACCAGTAAAGGGCAGGGCTTATTTTTATATACTTTTTATTTATTTCATATTTTGGAGCCTCTCGTTATAAACCTTGGATATATTTTGGTTCCTAAAACACCAAGCCCAAGCTCCAGCAGTGTGTCCTTAGTCCAACACAGCAGATGTCTTATGTCTGTAACAAAAAAAACCCTCCCCAATATGACGAGGCTCCTCCCATGGGACCTAATAGAGCAGTGACCTGTGAAGTGGGAGCTGCCTGCACATTCCTGTTTCCTCGAACTCCACAGAGCCTGAGGAGGAGCACAAGTCCACCAAAGGTTTATTATTTCTAATTTTATATGTATATATATATATATATATATATGTATATATGTATATATATATATATATATATATATATATATATATATATATATATATATATATATATATATATATATATATATATATATATATATATTTTTTTTTTTTTTTTTTTTTTTGGTTGTTTAATGTCCTGAAAAACATGCGTCCTGTGTCCTTACAGTGAGCGAGCTTGCATCTCCACAAACCTGACTCATGCAGGTGACATGCCACCTCCAGAAACTTATACACTATTGCTTTCAGTTACACAGAAAAAAATACATCTCACGCCTCATTACATCCGACAAGGGCATCTGGAGAACCTGAGGTCTGACCCACGTCGCCGTGGAGACACCATATTACATATTACCATATTAGTTATCCATCATTATCATATGACATTTTAATGATTAAACAGTTTGTCTAATATAAAACTAACACAAAGGTCATTGTCAAAAGACTAAGACATAAATTAAATTCAAGTTGTTTGTCAGAATAAAGCCAGATGTCTTACAGGAGCCTAATATTGAGCATCTTGACAGTAGCATTCCTACGATCACACTGAAAAGCTCAGCACTGTGCAGGGCCTCTCTGTGATTGGCTGCTCTAAAGTGGGTGTGTGTTCTGATTGGTGGGTGTGAGGTCGCAGAGGTCAGCAGCTCTCAGACTTTGAAGGAGGAATGAGGCCTCTCTCCCTCACACAGTCTCCGACAGCCCTCCCCCCTTTCCCTCACATATTTACAATACAGCAGCAGAGTATGTACAGTCACAACTGCAGCTGGGGGCTGCTCGGGCACATGAGGGCATGTTTGAAACTCTGTTTTGTCCTGGTCACACATGCCACACTTGTCCTGGGGAGCACATACAGTACATATGTCATGTAAGTGCAGTGTAATGCACACACAAGAACCTGTTATCACTTGTATATAGTTATAATAAAGAAAAACATCCATCCGTCTACCTCTGTTTTATAGAAATAAAGTGGATTACATTGGATCCGTGATGTTGTCCTTTTGGTCATTACCCAGAGATCAGGAGAGGGGGAACCGGGATCTAATCTAGGACTAAACCAGGTCTAAACCAGGGACCATAAATGACAGTAGATCCTAGACTGAGCGGTAAATGGAGATCTTTGGACTCAGCTCCTTCTCCACCCCAACAGTCGGATACAGCCACTGCCTCACTGCAGACACTGCACTGATCCACCTGTCAATCACACTCTCCATCCTTCCCTCCCTAAGGACTAGGACCAGACTAAAACCCTCACTTGAGATACTTGAACTCCTCCACTTGAGGCAGGGATTCTCCACCCACCCCGAGAGGGCGCCACATTTTTCCTGTCGAGAACCACAACCTCCAATTTAGAGGAGCTGATCTTCATCCCAGATGTTTCACACTAAAACTGCCCAAGTGCATGTTGCAGGTCCTGTTTTAGTCCTGGTTTGTGGTCCCCAAACTGGACCCCCTCTGGCCCCTGACTGCACCTAGAAATTCTGTCCAGAAATAAGAAGAATAGAACTGGTGACAAAGGGCAGCCCTAGAGGACACTGACATGCACTGGGAACAGGTCTGACTTACTGCAGAGAACACAGCTCCTGCTCTGGTCATACAGGGACTGGACAGCCCTGA